CTAAATCCCCACAATAACCAGTAGCCGTGCCAGTGGGCTGGCCTGAGGCGCGCTCCCCTCCCCCCCCCCCGGCCCTCTCGGCTGAGTGATGGTGACGCCCGTCCGGGGCTGTTGTCAGCATCCCAGGAGAGCCGCTCAAGGACCAGTCCGGCTCGTCGCACGATGACTGGAGGGTCCTCAGCTCAGTCCACGCGTCCCGCACTGCTCACGTCGTGAATCTGGTCCGAGGAAGCGAGGGGCGGGCGCCCGCTGCGTCTCCCTCTCCTCTACCCTGCCGTCGCCGCCGTCGTCGCCGGAGCCGCCGGAGCTGCTGCCACGGAGCAGCCGCCATCCATCGGCCGCGGAGCGAGTGTGTGCGGCCGACAGCCGGCCCCACCGACCGAATAAGGGCGATCGGTCAGCGGCGGCGGCTGTCGACATCAACTGACCGTCCCGCCGCCCGCCGCCGCGGCGAATAAATCGTCCACTTGGGCCGACAAGGGTGTGCCCGGTCTCACGGTGTATCGTCTGGTCTGCTCAGGCAGCGGAGGCTTAGTCGGTGGCGATTGCAGTGAAACTTATCGAGAGATAAATATTTATGGGAAACAGCGCAAACGAACTGTTGGAAATGTGGCAACTATCTCCGCTTCTCAACTTTAGTGTTTAGTGTTGTCTATTCGACCGGGACATATAGTACCTATGCAGGAACATATCTGGAGCGTTACTCTCGTGCACGGCCCGGCTGTTTCCAGACCGCAATTTTATTTTCAATGTATAACTACTGATCGTGATGTTTAAGCTGTCAAAATGTTCTGGACAGCAGCAAGTGGGTGCTTACCTTTACCGTCGTTCGTTGGAAGCGAGGAGTCCTCGGAAGAAACGCGAGGACTCATACGATGTTCTGTTCAGCTCTCATAAGCTGAATTATGTCGACGCAATCGGAAATGTAGGTATGTTCTGTCCTCTAGAGATGTGACACCACTGTCATTGCGAAATAAATAACATACACTCGAGCTAAAATGAAAAGAAACGTACCCAATTCTCGCCTCAGCGAATTTTGCACATGTTTGTCTTATTGCCCAAGTTTTATTGCTTTCGCAAATCAAACAGCATACCTACATCCGGCTTAGAAATAGTTTTATATAGACCAATCACTGTATAGGTGGAACTTAAAAGTCAAATACAAACGATGAAAGCCAAACGAATGCAGCTGGTTAAAATGTGAGTATAGTGAGAAAAAAAAATTAAAAAGAAGAAAATGTATGTACCTACCAATTTAGGAATTACTTTAAGAGTTTAAGTATCAAAGGTTTTTAGAAGTTGTGCTGTTCTAGTTGTTTTCCTCATAAGTCGTTGGGAGGATTGGGACATCAAATAACTAATTGAAAACATAGGTACCTTTATCATGAAAATTGTTGATAAAAATCACTGTGACCTTTTTCCAACTTCCTCTAAAACAATTTTTAGGGGAAATGCATGCGAACCTTAATTAGGTATGATTTTTTAATGTTGAAAGCAGTATCTTAGTATAAGGTTGGTAAAATATTGCAATCATCTAAAGTTGTTTTCAGGCATCCGTGCAGACCAGAAATTCGGTCAAAACATCATTTCAAGCATGGAGGAGAGGTCCCGTCCTGAATTCAACTAGATGAGTTCTTCCTGGCCTATTCAGTTGCTTGGGGTCAACACCACAGGGCAACATGTAATCCGCCAGGGTGGGGTACACTGAAGGCGCAAAACTTGGGCCAACGGTCGCACAGGGTCAAAGGCTGGCGGTCGCAGTGGGACATTTGAGGGGAATGTTGTCAACCGCTGTGATAATGAGGGCCTGTTCAATATTCATACACGGCTCTAACGACGTGCGAACTACGCCTGCTAATGTTGATGAATGGTTTTAGTCGTCGGAGGGTTATTCGTGCGTGTGGTGATTTAGTCCGCCGGTTGTTTGGAAAAGCCAGCGCCCACTATCAGGCCAATGAATTATGCAGATGGACTTGACAGGCTTTATTGCGAACAATGCGAAATTTCGGTAACTGAAATCACGTTGTTGGCGTTATATACATAGGTATCTTTTTTAATGCGGTGATTAACTTACGTTTATTATTCACGATCATGATAAACAAAAGCCGTCAGAAACCATACCTAACAAAGAAATACCAGGGAAATACATAGGCGGCGGAACGGGGAGGGCACCGGGGCACCGTCCCCCCCTTTGATTCTGACATTTTAACATTAGCCCTATGGGCGTTGCATGGAAAGAATGGGACCAAAAGTGGGCAGTGCCCCCCCCCCCCCCTAATTGAAGGTGTTCCGCCGCTACTGGGGAAATAGCTCAGGCATTAACTACACAACTGTTTGATAATAAAAAATGCGATGTTTGAAACAAAGCCACAAATCGAAACCTGGGAAGAAAAGATGAGCTCGGTCAATTTCGACAGCTGAGGAAAGTCGCGTAAAAAAATGACGAGCTTTAAGAGGAATGTATTGTGATTTTATCTATCTTATCGTATCGATATCGCATTGATATCGTGACGCATTGATATTGACATCGTATTTATCGCAATGAGCAAACGGCACTCTTGACACACTGCAAATGGATTTTCTACTACAATCTCTCCGGTTCGAGAGGAGTCCGCTAGCTATTCGACTGTTGACTGTTGAATGGTGGTATTTGGCGTAGGTAGGTAGTATAGAGACCTATACACTATGCTCTCCTCTTCTTTTACAGTAGACAGAACACACTAGCCGTCCGGGGAACGGCATTCATTTACATCTCAAGTGCCCGAACACCAACGACTTTCTCAAGCCATCAAACGCCAAAGCACGCATCTTTTATCTGGTTCGTCTTTCGCTCGGTTTGCGAACAGGCCCTCCTTTGAAGCTGAATGCGAGTGCCGTGGGCGAGGAGCTGCCCCGGCTGTCGCCCGTCCATCAGCCGATTCTGACACGGTTCACGTGACCCCAGACACGGTCACGTGACCCGGGCCGCCTGAGGCGACCACTGATGTGTGTGACGATCGGGTTCCGCACACGATTGGACACGGGGTGGGGCGCCGTCGGCTCGGCGTTAACCCGCCATTGAGCGGCCTCGCTACCGAAGGGTGACTGATGCGGCCAAAACAGCACATTTGTCTGACATATGAGCAACTGGCGGAATCAATGCAACATGTAACGACTAACGTGATTGAGCAGCCATGGCTGCCATCCATCTCCGTTCAAGCTGTGATGCACTCAGTTTTGCTGAACGGAAGGTCAGCTACACTATTCACTTGGGTTGGGAAAGGGTAGGTAGGTACTTGAGCATGTCGAAAGAGGCATTTTATGACTGAACAAAGGCAGGTGCCGTCTATCCAGCAATTACCATGTAAGCTCAGCTCAGGGAATGGGTCAGAACGAATCGTGATTATGAAGTCGATAAGAAAAATACATTCGCTGATTAACTAGTGCGCTAGCTATTTCAGGGCAAGCCGGAAAAACGCGGAAGAGACTGGTTCTGTTCGTGCCGTTTTTATGCGTGCCATAGCCCGTAACCATACCGTGCCGTTCCACGTGACAGCTAAGGCACGGGTACTGCCGGGTCACGTGATCAATGCTAATCACGTTAGCAAACAGCCACAGGCGGTGACCAATAAGGCCAGGCCACGGGCCGGGACAATACGGTGTTGATGCAATAATAACACGCGCAATTGATTGTAATTTGCGGTACCGGTAATGCCCGCGCTGCCCGGTCAAATGTGCCCGCACATGGGTCCGTCGAGGGCGCTCGTGCGTGCTGAGCATGTACAGATGGATTCAGGTTTTATTACAACAGGTGTGATAAAAGTCATGAAACATTCACCAGTGTAGGTTCTTGTCGACAGCTGACAGAGTTGAAAAAGTCTTTTATCAACTTGTGCGGAAGAAATATGCAGAAATGTGAGAAAACAAAACCAGCGCTGCTCTAAAAAAATGACGATTGATGCACGCGAGGGGAGCGCACTCAACGTGTATCGTCACAGATACGCACATCCCCAATGCTTTCATGCCATTTCAGATCAGTTCACGCTATAATAAGCGCTGTTGTGTTTTTGAGTCTGTTAGATAGTTACATTGTTCATCTGCGATGGCATTCATTCTTATCGCGGGCAATGGTTCAAGCGACTGGCAGCATTCTGAAGCCTGCTCAGTATACAGTGGTCACAGTGCGTTGCCAGAGAAGAGAGTTAACTACACTATACTGATTTTTGGCAAGATATTTGTCCAAATGTCTTTTCCTTTCCAGTTAATGACTTTTTCTAGTATCACGCGAGCTTTCCGTTCCGACTTGATAATCTTTCCGATTCATCTGACTTTTTCGCGGCACTCAGACCCATTTGTCATTTCGTTCCAGTGAAACTCTATGCTGTTGAAATTAATAAATCACCCCGTGCTCGCTCCTCGCCAGCAACCTCACAATCGCAGGCCAGCAAACCATTCGTGAGAAATACGCGGAGTTGGCTTTGCGAAACGTATCTGTATCGCTTGGAGCACCAGTATCTGTATCTGTATCTGTATCGCTTGGAGCACCAGTATCTGTATCGGAGTATCGCTCCCACTCCAGTATCATGTGAGCTCAGTTACTTGTGTCCGCAAATATGCAGGTCGTTACTACTCACAACCTCCGCTTGTAAAACTCCCAATCAGTCAAGTGACTAGGCGAGCGGCTGTTATCAGACATATAAAAGGAGACCTTCACCGATACGAATTATCGATCACACCTGGCTATTTTTTTCGAATGCATTAGTATGTAGTATGGCCCACCAGCCCATCCCTGGAATGTTTGTTGGCTGCGAGAGAGACCGGGCTCGCGCCTCTCGACCCAGCCCAGCACGGAGTCTACATAGTACATACGTGTTATTTCTGGTATCAAACAGTGACCACCGCTAGTACCTTGTATCCCCCGACTACCCGCTCCACCCCTACTCCCCCAAAACCTTTCCTGTGGCGCAGACATCTGATCTGCGATCATCACCCCAACAGCTCATCACTGAAACGCACACGGCTGATAAAAAAGACGTTTATATGCATGAGGCTGTTATGTACAGCTCGGCGACTCGGCGGCGGTGGGCCGCCAGCCTCCCGCGTAACAAGACAGAACAGCGCCGCGGTCGCAGCCCGCTGAGGGCCCCGCCGACCACAGCAGACTAGGTCGGGTGGCGAAGCGGTCCAACCGTTCGCCACCCGACGGCACACGCTCAGACACTCGGGCGCGACCAGGCGCCACAACCTTCTCACACCACGCCATTATTTGCTACGCAGTGAAAGTACGCGTTCTGCTGAGCAACGAAAGCGTCGGTGGGATGCAGCCGCGCGGCGCGGCGCCACCTCCGGTACTCTACCCGGGTAGAGGAGCGGAGCGGCCGGCCGCCGCCCCGAACATTGGCACGTGGGGGTCTGCCGCCGCGCGGCACCTCCCCGGCAGAGATTCCATTGATAGTCGGTCTAACAGAAGTCGCTGGTCAGTGGACGACTGGCGAGGGGCGTCTCCGCTCGTAGTGGCGCAGACTTACCCCGAGAGGCCGACTCTGGTGACCTTCGGCAGATTACCTTGATGACTCAGCCACCTGTAGCGCACCACTGTGACCTTTGGTGACCTCCTGCCATCACTTGTGACCTTGAATGACCTATCACGACCTGCGCGACTGACCTGCGCCGCCGACCACGGGGCAGCGCGCCGATTCTGTCTGCGATTTCCCTGATATTCTCCGGCGCTGAAGTCGCTACGCCACATCACTTTCCTCACTCGCGTCTGCGAGTGCCACGGCCGGCGGCTGGCCGAAGCTGCGAGTGATGCTCTGACTCATGGAGCGGATGTTGGCGAGGCTGAGCTCGTCCAGATCCAGTTCCCCAGGCATCTCGTCATCTCCTCGTAGCTGATCGTACTCAGAGTCATACATTGCACTCAGAGAGTCCATGCTGATGAGAGCGTCGGAGTCGAGAAGACGTGACGATGCCCGTGATGATACCGATAGGTTGTCATCCAGATCCACCTCGTATCCGCCCGGCTCGTTGTACATCGAGTTGACGTCGCTCAGCGCGCCTGGCGGACAAAATGGGAAACACGTCAGCCGCCTGGTGGTGGAAGCTGGAACTAGGGCGCGGTGATGTTCGGTGGGAGGGCGGTGAGGAGAGGAGAGGAGAGGAGAGGAGAGGAGAGGAGAGGAGAGGAGAGAAGAGGAGAGGAGAGGAAAGGAAAGGAGAAGAGAGGGAGAGTGACGAGAGAGCCAGTGAGAGTGAAAGGGTACGTGCGATCGACAGAATAATGACGAAGCTATAACACGGTTCCCATAATGGTGGGAAACAGCGGCTGCGACGCCCACGGGAAGAAAAGAACAAAAACTAACGAATGTCGCGGCGACGACCGAATAGGTGATAGATCGGTGACAAATGAATAGCGAGCGTCAGCGAATGAGAGCGACGGGCACGCTTGTGTCTGTGGCTGGTCTAATTATAGATTTTTGGTGATGCTAACTCGTGTTGATGTTTCGAGTTCAGGCACGTGTTATGAATGATGGCTTTTGTCTCATTTACAGTTTGACCAAAGGTTAGCCGTTTTAGAAAACGACTCTTCTTTTCGCATAAAAAACAACCATAGCTCATGAAGAAGTGTAAATGATTTGGCCAGTTTTATCAGAAACATTCAATCGGTGGTTGATTAAAACAAGTAAGTGAAATAAATTCATGTCCGTAAAAAAACACAAAATCGGCAAAAAAAGGGAACGCAGACCGAGGTTCGTTGGGCGGAGGGGTGAGGGGTGTGGCCGGCGGGCCGGGTGTCAATCCCCCTCCCAACGTCACGGGGTCACGACACACGGTCGGCCGTTCTGACCAGACAGGGAGTGAGCAGCGGCGGCGGATGAGACGTGCTCAGATCGATGCAGAGACTGGCGTCGAGACGCGAGCGCGGCGAGGTGTGTAATTAACTATCGGTGCCGGCGTCGCTGGTAGCACCGACACGACCAACCAGCGCATCAACATACAGACATATAGACAGGCAGGGGAGAGCGGGGCGCACAGACGACGCACAGAGACACATGCGCTTTATATGGACATGGGAACCGAAGTAGCGTCGATGAGACAATCTGAGCTTTATCGCTTAGATGGATCCGAACTTCTGCCAATCGACGAGTAACCTTTTTGAACTGACAATTGTGAGAAAGAAGACGTGTAAGGCCTAAAGGGCAGGAGACAAAACGTCATTCAAGAAATTCGTTGAGTAGAAACTAATCAAGTAAGCAAGTGGAACCCGGGAAGACCCTTCGTTGAGGCTTGCAGATAGTACCAATATTTGTTCTGCTACGGCACAAAGAAGTAATGTGGTGACATTACAGGATCCAATACCGCCTACAGTCTGTTTAGACCAAAACTACACAAACTAACGCTAAATAGGCACGTCTGCTACCTAAATAAATCTCCTGACATGAAATACATACACCATCAACGTTATACAAAGTGCCCGCCACACTAAATCGACAACTCATCAAATATCCCCCCATCCCACCGATACCGCATTTATTTTCCCAACACCCCATCACCACACCAATCAGTAATCGCTGCGCCCGGACCGCCGAACCACCCGCAGTAGGAAAACCATCAACAGTCGGATCTCTGTAACAGGCAACACATGGCAGCACAGATAGCCTATGCATACCGAATGACGGCCGGAAGTCGCGCCAGCGCACAGTGGGGATTTTTCCGATCTAGCACCTATTTATTCGTAGAGGGCAAACCATAGGTAGAATTGTAGCCAGATTGTGCACAGATGTTGGCTGGTGTGTCCTGGTGAGAATTTTACGTGTAAATGTGCATAATCAACATAGTAGGTATAGGGGGTTCAATTGGACCCCCCGCTCAGCCGTTTGGCCCCTGATCAAGCGAGAGCTTCGCGGAAAAGTCCAGCGTGCTGCCTATGACGAAATTAGGCCGAATATATCCAATTTCAAAGTCCAAGGTCATAAGCTGACTTTCCAAGTCAGTTTAATGACCCAACTAAAGTTGGGAAATCGAGACCTCTTGAAACTTCGCAAAGTTAGGGTGTTACGGGGTATTTTGGGGTGCTGATCACGAATTTCATGTTAGTTTTGATCACAGACGATGTCTTTATGCATTTAGGCCAGGTTGGGTCAGGTCACGTTAGATCAATTAGTAGGCGTCCTGCCGGCCATCCATAGAAGTGTCACCTACTACTGATAGCTTCGTAACATGGAACGAAGGCACTAGAACTACTTCGTAAATATTCAAATGGCTGCTAAAATCGAAATCAGCACCAAAAGCTACCCTAGTAACAAGTAAAACTCGAAAAAGTGAACCAAGGTCATCAAGAGGTCAATGACCTTGGCTTGACCTTCACGTGACCTTGACTCCCACCATTATGCATGGCACCAACATTATTTCACATATTTGATCGTTTAAAACCACAAAAAGACTGGAAACCGCGGATAATGTGAGCTGGCATACGCCGAATCGCGATTCCGGCCAAACATGGTCTCGAGAAATATGCCACAGGTCAAAGGTCAGTTGGGTCAGAGTCATGAAATTTTTAGGTTAGATGTAAAATTGATGATCTCCAGGGTACCAAAAGTTTCGGCGCGATCGGCCGCTTTTTGCGCGAGTAATTTGCGGAAAACCATGGGGTTTTATCCGACCCCTTCCCCCTCCCCCTCCCCACGAGTGCGATGGTTAATAAGGTTACGGTATGTATAATTTACGCTTGTCATCCTATTCCTAATGAATGTGTCTCAGAAAATATGCATCATATAAATCACGAAGTAAAATTATTCGCCTATGTCCGGAACATACCTATATCGTGCTGTTTGCCCTAGCGCTCCTCGAGTGGGGTATTAAGATACTCTAATGTGAATATTCCGTGTTCAGGCAAGTTTCGGCAGCCAAACTAGGCGTTGTCTTGTGCAGAAGACAGTGGCGAATTCGATAGGATATATTTCGGAGTGGAAAAGTGTGGAGAACATTGTTGATTTCCTACATTTATTTAGAATACCATTCCTTCAATATGGTGTCTGTAAGGGTTTTTTGTAAAGGGCATTTTTGTGACCTTAGTAAGGTTGTGGCATACTTTCTGTTTGCCATTCCATTCCTAATAAAGGTGCCTTTCAGACGATATGCAAGTTTAAGACCTCGCAAGATTAAAACCAACAGGACAGGACAATGAAATTGAGCTATACTTTCGGGCCTTGCTGAGCCCATTGAGTAATCACGCATGAGTGTGAACTTTGGGCGCATTTTTCCTAGTTTTGCTGTGGACATACAGATAAAACAATGCCATATATGAAAAATTCAGACATTTCTTAGCCCTACTGACACAAAAAATAAACAAAAATCCAAAAAATATTTTTTGAATTAATAGGCGCTAGATCGGAAAAATCCCCACTGTGCAGCGGCGCGGAACAACCTTTGGTGCGGATTTCGCGGAAACGCCCGGCCTCACAGAAGACAAGGGATAGGACACGTGAGCGAGCAGGTCACGTGAGCCATCCCAGTCTGGGTGGCCTGTTCCTCAACTCAGTCACGTGGGCGTGCCAATCTCGTCGATAAACAGACGGTATAATGTCCCCGGATAGAGTGAGGAGGAAGATAGGGAGAGAGGGATGCGGGAGCGATGGAGGAGAGGGTTGGAAGAGCCCGGGCGGAAGCGATGGACGGGTTACCGAAAAGTGCAGAACGAATCCGACGGAAGAGAACTAAAAGGATACGAAAAAAGGCGCTCCAAGGAAGACATCTAATGGAATAAAACACCACTGAAACGGTTATCTGGCAGCCTATGACGGCCGGGTATCGTCGGATGGTGAAAACACTTCGCTGACAGCCGAACCGACATCGCAATCTCCAGAGGAGAAAGGCCCGACAAAGACTGCTTCCCGTGGCAGACCAAGGTGGAGACCCTCTCTGAACCGAGGCGCCAGGCGGTATCCCAGTGGTGAACCTTCTCATCAAAACTCTCACCAGCTTCGGCTCTCGCCCAATGCCTCCTTCCGACCTTGCCACAATGCAATACGTGGCCCTCAACCCTCATCCAGTCCCGGCCCTACTCCGATCCTGGCTCTCCCAGCTCTTCTCGGCTTCACCATGGTTCTCGACAAGCTCTTATCTTCATCGCACCATGTGGTGGCGAGGTCTTCGCTGTGCAGCGAAGACCTCGCCAAGCCGTACCCCGTCCTTGCCTCCTTCACTACCGCCAGCTGTGAACGACAAATGACCCCCCCCCCCCCGCCTCTCCAAAATACGACTTATAGCCCAGTGCAGACAGTGTCGCCCCACTACGACTTTATAGCGCAGCCCGGGCGTTCCCTCCACCTGCTGGCTACATTATGGTAGGTTATTTCAGCCACCCTCTGCCCGCACCAGCCGGCGCAATGTGACAGCCGGTCGCCAGCGAGACTTCAGTAGCAGCTGGCGGTACGGAACGGGACGGGACCTGACCTGGCTCAGGCCACCCTGAGTGAAGCCACCGTTAGACAGCCGTGACCGCCACGACCTCGGCCGCGACCGAATTAGCCGGGGTGTCATTTCACGGCGATGTGGTACCGGCGCCGGCAGGCGGGTCTGGCGCTGGGGGTTTAATTAGATCGCCCCCGCCCCCACCCACTCGGGAGAACGGAGCAGCGGTTTTCAACAGGGAATAATGAAAATGGAGGCTATCTCGATCAAAAACTGATAGTATGAAGCTGGTTGCTGGGCTTCACTGGCGCAGTATGGGCCCATCACATGATGGCAGCAAGCAATAATGCTGAACAGGATCGTGTCATGTGTCTTGAAAATGAAAGATCTAAGCGGAACTAATTAAATATCCAGATATGCAGACGACAGGGCCCGCTGCGGAAAAAAAAGCTGGTAAACGCCCTTCACCTGAAGACAAAAGCCAAAGAAGTGCACCGCGCGCGGTATCACAATAGTTACCATACTGATACTGTACTGACCATATACTTCTCAGTCAGCTAGCTGTGTTTATGTCACTTTAGCATATACCACACAGGGAAACAGAAGAAATCTTGCAGCTTGATCTGTTGATATAACAGAAGCATAGTTGCCGAAAAAAATATATCCTCAGATCTAAGCATGACAAAATGGTGTGTGACAAATATGTATAAAAAAGATGCCCTTCATCGGACATCGAGTCTATAGTTGAACAGCAAAATCGTCCATAAAAAATGCACGACATCAAATAAGGGCAAATACAAGTGTAGTGGACAGCGCGCCACACAGGCACTTAACTTTTTCTGGCCGGACCTCATCTACCGCACGCTCTGTCCGACCAAGTTCCATCCTCTCGGGGAGCTCCAAGCCGAGCTGAATGGGTTCCGCCACCGGCAGAGAGCAGTCTGACCATTCAGACCGGCCAAAACTTCCCCGATCGAGCGCCGCTCGTACGAAAGAACACCGGACTACAACCGGCCCCAATCCCAGGAGATCTGCAGCGTCCGTCAAAGGGCTGCTCGGAGGGAGCCGTCACTATCCGGACAGGACAAGTCGCCACGGGCCAGCTCAGAACTCTCACTACCCGGACAGCGTCAAAGGACAGCTCAGCACCCGAGGCGTGTCAACAGCAACATCAATGACACGAGCAGCGAACCGGACTCAACTACGCGGTCCATCTATCAAAATTCCCGTCAGCGACGGCCGTGCGGCCGAGAGGGGAGCTCCGCCAGCCAGTTAATGTCTTGGTTGAGCTTCAAAGCAGCCTGTTAATAGCCACCACCCGATTTGTCAGGGTTTCAGATAAATGGTTGTTTTTTATGATGCCAAATGAAGAGGACCGAATGTGATCAGCGTCCATTGGTAAGTCTGCAGGACCATTAGTGCCAAAAACACACGAGCAGAAACTGCGCGAAACGTGTTCGGGACCAGAAATTAATTACGAGGCGAAATAAATAAATAAAAGATAAGGCTCGCCCCGAACTTTCCGCGAGAAGAGACGTAGTATCATCAGTGCTTCCACAGAGCTAGCACACGAGCGCACAAAGGAAATGGAATGTTCTCATATGGCCCAGAGTGCGACAAGACAATAATGTTAGTGGGATCGTGGGCTGTAGCAAATACCATTACGTAACGGCAGACGAATGTCGTTACAAGACACAGGTGCTATCATGTATTAGGGTATCTGGATCAATAGCGCGGACCACGCCCAACGCAAAAACAAAAACATTACCGCTAATCATCTACGCTTCGGGGATATTAGAGAACAGAGCACTCAAGTTCCACTGCGTATGTGATATGCCTATCCGAAAGATCGCCTCATTGCTTCCACATTATTATCCCTTTACATGACGTAATATTATCAACTGTCCATCAGTATTAGTTTCCCTCCGAATTCCGTCCCTCGCCCCCGTCCACCCAGGCTCACCCTCGGCGTCTGTGAGCCCGCAGTCGTTCAGCATGGAGGCGTTCTCGAGGGCCTCGTCGTTGGTGGTGTAGCCGGCGCTCTCGGCGTCCTGGTGGTCGTGGTCGAGGAGCGGCTCCGACTGACCGGCGTCGTCATCCTCCGACCACTCGCTGAGCTCTGCCAGCTTCTCCTGCGGACGGAGTCAGAGAGCGGGTCAGGTCAGGTCACAGGCCAGGGGCGAGCGCGAGGGTGCCTGAATAGGGTCATGGTGTTACGTGAGGTTGTTCATTTCCTAGCAATAATGAAAATTGCTGGAGGTTAGGTAAAGACGGGGAGATGGACAAATATGGAATGCGTGATGTGAAATTCAGGTTACAATGCGCACGACTGGCATTTAGAGGGGGTTTTAACTTTTAAGTTACGTAAAAAGACCCGAGATATTCGATGTAAACTGCCATTTCAGACGGCAACCGTGCGACAGTTGTCGTACAAGTCTGCCATTAAACAAACAAATTTGTCTAAAGAACACTCGACAGAAAAACAAATGAGACCCTCGAGCGAAACTCGTCCCTAACTCAACTAACACTCATTCAAACTTTCCGAGTGTTGCAATCTCGGCTTCCCCACCACTGCCAACAACCCAAACAACATAACTATCACGAGCGTCATATGGATATCCGATACTTTTAGTGACTGGGAAAATTCAAAACGCAACTTCCATATCGCGCCCCCGTCGAGGGCTGCACCGATGGTCCAGGGATGGGCAATTGAGCATAGTGATGACAATGACTGGGTCTGTAACTGTTGCCTGTGATAGAGACGGTAGGTTCAACAATGACAGTATGACGGTGGCTGTGACACTGTGACGGTAGCTGTGACAGTGTGACGGTAGCATCCACAGCGGTCTCGGCTGTGACAGCGACATTACAGGACAGGACGGCGTCGGCGGCCACCAGAGGGGGTTTCCGGTGCCGCCGTTGAGCGGATCCCCGGGCGGCCGCTGGAGATTGATGAGGTCTCGTTAGGAGGCTCCTCAGGGCGCCGGTTACTGGCAATATAACGGCCCCGCTTCGGGCCGCCTGACGTCACCGCCCGACACGCCCGTGACCAGAGTATTGGTGTTGTCGGGGCGGGGAGATGGGCTTCACAAGGCGGACAGCTTGTAAACATCGACGTGAAGAGAAAGGCGAGAGAGATTTAATGACAATTGAGGAGTTTTATCGCGCATGTTGGATACCATTAATTGATGCACACAAGATTAAGTTGATCGGTCTTGGTCGAGGCGGTTCCGCTAATGCGTTCCTTTGTAGATCATTCACCCGTGAGCTATTTCAGTCCAGTAATTTCAGCGACCAATAATGTGTGACATCAAGTTCAATAATTTCTCCGGTCGTCAAATACGTCAGGTAGATGGAGACGGGAGCTATAAAGCCTGGTGTGTCTAATAACATTCTAAGGGTATGTAATGCATCTTTTCCGCACCGGCTAATTCAAAACTGCGAAGACAGAAGAGTGATTTGAAAAAAAAGTTTGATTTAACAGAGGTAAGTGTCTAAGAAGCTTAAGAGACTGCCTCGATGAATAGCAGACTGCCCGACACCGACAGCAGTCACATCTCACATTTCATCCAGCTGGATCTCATTCCCTTCGCCTCTTGCTCAGGACCAAAGACAAATACACAAAACGCGGCTATTGAACCGATAGCGGCCGGGAAAAAGAAAGGAATTTTGCATGTTTTTTTGCATGGAATTTTGCAAGACCGCTATTCGCACTTCCATGCAAAAAAAAAATACCATTTCACATTCCTGAAGTTTGCTGCATTTACGTCCAGTATGACGTCTTCACCTTGACAGAACGCATAGCCAACTGACGCCAGTACCAAAATCACATCGACAACTCATCCGTACACGAGCCGGAGCCGGATCGGGCAGACGGTACTGGTTCGCGGTGTCAGCGATCGTGTCCTGTGTCCATCTCCCCGCCCCCACAGTCGCCCACCCAGCGATCCATTAGCGCCGCGCCGGGGACTGCGATCGGAGATCGTCCGTGGCACACGGATATGATGACGCTGCACCCGCAGCCTCTATTCCAGAGACGGCTAATCCCATTCCCGAGACCATTAATCGCAACCGGTACAATTCCCTGGCCGCAGGGCACGGGCGGGGGCGGGGGCGACCGGACACGACATCCACGCGCGGGTCCGTGGTTACGTAATCTTCATCATAATCAGACGGAGGGGTCACACCGCGAATAATGAGTAAATATGACGAACGGTAGTAGTCAAGTAACACTCCCCAAAAATATTTCTCTAGACGGAAGGGCGTCGAGTTTAGGTGAATTTTATATGTTCACTGATTTGTAAGATTTGATAAACGCATTCACGTCACAACCGCATTACAAAACGAAAGTTAGCACACAGGGTAGCGATACAGCCGCTCGTGCTGAAAGGAGCTGAGACCTCTCGACGATTTTAGCGCGACATCCCCCGAGTCTCTATCGTAGCGCCACTGAGACCGACTCGTTGGCCGTTCGCGGGGCTCCGATAAGCTCTCGCTGAGAAATGACCGGCCAAAAGTGGTAACTAGCAGGCGTCGGCGGCCACGGACCAGCGCCGACTCTGGACTCTGGTCCGCTCCCTCCATCACCGACAGGGTGATATTGGTGGCGGAGGGTGACCGCGCGGCCAACGGGCCGGTCCCACACCCAGGTCACGACCTGTGCGGCGCAGCAGGGCGGGACGCCGGGCGCCCGACGAGCCGAGGCGGCAGTGATGGAGCTCGGCCGGTGCGCACTAATAGGCTTTACACCCTACGGTGGTGACATAGCGTCCGATTTTGGCCCGGGGCACCGCGCTCAGTAGACCGGGAGACCCATCACGATGAGTCGTGATTATATATTTTTGGACGTGATATCAACACTTGGCACCTTAGTCGTCTTATGAGACTCGTAAAATGGTCGTGAAGCAATACATACGGCAGTAACTGGCAAAACATGCTTACGCTCTTCCTTTAACGCCGTCATTCTACCTCAGAAAGTTGTTTAAGTTGACTTTTAAGTAGTAAATAGTAAGTGTCAAACTATTTAAACTTCCTGTGATTACTTACTCTAGAAGAGAATGAAGTTTTGAGACTAACACCAAGGGAAGAGATCAGCTAGCTGAAAACTTCCGAATGCCCGTCACAAGTGGCGTCCCAAGTGTCAAAATAATAAACAACAGCCCCAAACAACAGCCCCAAGCGACTTCGAGGTTCCATGGGGCGAAATATTTGGTGCAAAACCAAAGCACTGACGGAATATGATTGGTAGTTAGTGTCTAAAGTGTCATCGAAATGTACCTTGTGGTAAAATACATTTCTATGATCCCATTGGATCCCAAGTATAAAATACATCCTGGACCTGTGAAAAAAAAAAAATAAACAACAGGGTATGTTGAAAAGGCTACGGTATACAGTCAGCCCGAAATATGCTGCAAGTATTGCTCTTCAGAGACGTCACTGCAGCTTGATCTGCATAATCAACGGATGAAGAAAAACTGAGCTTTCATTACAATCGCTTTGGCCGCTACATATTATAGACGACTGAATGCCTTTCTGCTAGTATTCTAGGATATGTAGTTGTCTATGTCCACATCAATCACAAAATACGCAACAATCCTGGACGTAGGGAAACGCACAATATTCTACCGGAATGGACATCAATGAGGCTTTTACCATTCGAATAAACTACAATTTCCGTAAGACAAGTAACCTTGTTACCAGCGTGCAGTTAATGACAAAAAACTGTTAAGTTCAGGCGTCGAGAGGGATACTGAACAATGCTTTATACGGTGTGAATACCCTGCCATCTCACCTGACGCTCCGACTCGGCCAGCAGTCGCTTCTCCTCCTGCTCGAACAGCTCCATCTCCAACTCCTCATCCAGTCGCGGAGGGCCGTCCACCGTCCCCTCAGACGAGCAGGGGACGGCCGCAGACGAGGGAGGGTCGGCAGCCGCCAGCCGGGTCGCCAGACCCGCAGAGACGGAAGCGGGACTCTCAGAGGCCGAGGTTACCGACGGCGACCTGAGGTAGATGGGCTCATGTCAGCAGACGGTAGGGATAGTTGGCGAGAATACAGTGATCACTAGAAGGCCTTGTCCAAGCGTATTAACGGTACTCTGTTGCCACCCTTGTTTTCAACCTCTACCGTCAACAGTACGGGTGAATGAGTGGCATTCAACACAATTTACAGATGATACGCGACCATTAATACCTAAGCATCAGCAATCAGCTCTGTCAACAGCGATTCATTGACACGGCGAAGCGTCTAATCCCCAGCTGCGCTGCGCAGCGCCGGCGCTATTTTAGTGCGAGATGCCCTTGCCACTCTCCGAGGCAGCGGGACGGGGCAATCTACCGGGCCACTGACCGCATCATGGCCCGGGGTCACGACACCCCCGTGGGTCCTCCTGGAATAGCGGCCGCCGGCCGGCCGGTACCTATTAGAGCTGCGCTCAGGGCAGGCAGACATACCGGCACGGCGCTGGAACGAGCGAGCTATCCCGGGCGAGCGGGGCAGCGGGGTCGGGGATTTGTCCGGGGGTGAATTGCATAGCAGCTCAAGCTCTTTCCCGGTCTAGCCTAGGACAGACATGGCAAGAAGTCGAGCGGAAGTTCACTTGAGCCAGTTGACTGCGGAAGAAAGCATCCAGCTCGGTAGAAGAAATAGCTGAGACGACTGAGGTGAATGAGGCGCACACCGTCGCCATGGTTCGACCACAGTTCTGAAGAAGACTCATCCCAGCATGCCACGCAAGTCAAACCACGCAACTCCGGAGGCTCTAGCTACTACAAAGACACTCAGCAATACAGTCCCGTCGGCAATCCATCCCAGCAAATCGGAGTCATGTAGCTTGTTAGCCGAGACCGGGCCGGTCCTGACAGGCTCGTAAAACCAAGCTCCTACCAAGAACATCAGGGGACCCTCTTGCTTTCCCAGTGGGTCATCTCCTAGAAAAGCGAAACCCTGTTGTGTCGGCCAGTTATTACACGTCTGACAGACCAGAGAAGAAGTAAATGGAAGACTGTGCAAACCCCGAATGGACGCAATTATGCCAAAGCAGCGCGGGAAGGGGCCAGAGGCCAGGTCAAGCGGTTAGTAGGCGGATGAGGCGCGCGGACGCCGTCATCTCATGCTGACTGGCCGGCGTTGGGCAGACGCCGTGTTAGTGTCGACTGGGCCGGACCAGGCCGGCTCAGAGCGGCCAGTTTACCTGGACGGGTCGGCCGGTGGCGCGGCGCGCGGTGCCGGCAGCGGAATCCGACTGGGAGGCGGCCGCAGCAGGAGGCGAGCGCCGCCACCGCCGTCACCGCCGGCCAGACTGGCCAGCAGCGCCGCCTGCTGCCGACGCGCGGCCGCCTGCAGCGCCTCGAGCGGCGCCGGCGCCGACGGCGGGTCGCCGCGGCCCGGCCGCGTGTACGTGTCCGTGTTACAGCGAGCCTGCGGGGTGGTCGGCTCCGAGAGGTTAGCGCGCGCCGTCACCGGGGGGTTACGGGGCTGGCCGTCCGAGCCGCTCGTGCCGTACCTGCCAGCTCCACCTGCTCCGCCGCCGGCGGGCGCTGCTCGAGCGCCCACGAACCGCGGCAGGTGAGACTTCTTGGCCGAGTTGGGCGCAGAGCGCGGCGTTCGCCGGCTCGGCGCCGCCGCTGCCGCCGCCGCCATGGCCGCCTCTGCTGCCGAGCGGACCGCCTCGTGCGCCGCCTCGCGGGGTGACACGCTGCCACGCGCCAGCAGTCGGTTCATGGCAGCGCCTTCCTCGCGGGACAGGGAGCGTTTCTTGCAGGGCGGCTCGCCGTCCGAGCTCCTCGTCGCCTCGGGTTCATCAAACGCCTCTAATCCATCACTCTCACTGTCCGTAGGCGCGGGCGCCGCGCCCGTCTCCGTCACTCGCCGCACCGCCTCCTCCACAGTCACAGCCGGCTCTCCCTCCGACCGACCGTCGGATCGATCATCACGATCAGCGAACGCACTCAGCTCGGCCAGAGCCGGCGGCGGCGCCTCGGCACCGGGCAGGCTCAGCAGCCGCAGCTGTTCGGTGAATGAGGGCGCGCGCGGCGGCGGAGGCGACGGCGAGTCAGCGTCCGTCCGCGAAAAGTCAGTCCGCGAGTAGCTCTCGTCTGAGGACGACACAGATGGAGAGCGGTTGAGAGAGCTCAGCTCGTCAGCCGAGGAGGCTATCCGAGCAGCGTAGAGCTCGGCCGACGGCGGCTGTTTGAGGTTCTCCTCGGAGCGGCGCCGCTGAAGTCGTAGGTGACTCCGGACGGCTGCCTCCTCGGTGTGGAGGAGCCGGGGCGCGGCCATCACGAGCGGACCGTGAGGAGGCACCGCCGGAGGCACGTCCTCCAACTCTGCCGGCCTGCGGCAGACGAGAGGAGAGCGGCGTCAGTGGAACAGAGAGACAGACACAACACACGGGGACGATCAGTATCCAGATAAAGCACACGTACGATGAACTGCCAGGGAGTCACTAACTGACAACTGTCAGTAGGCCGGTCTTTAATGTAAAGTTCCCGCAAATCGTTGTAACCTCGTAAGACATTGGCATCGGGCATCTCTTGAGCGTAAATATCAACACATCCTATATCTATCACTTGACTCCAACTCATCAGCCAGTAGGTACGGTCCAGTGAGTGGCGTGAATCCCAGCCATCCCCACATATTGCCTCCACTGTCTCTGGACGCCCCACACATCCCCCTCCCTGTGAAGGCCCCCGACTGCAAAGTGAACCGCACCTCTGTCGGGCCCAGGGCGGTGTGTAGACGCTCCTCTCCGGCAGCCGGTGCAGGTCGTCCGGCTGTCGGGGCGGTGTGAACGTCCGTGGCGGTGTCGCGCCGCGTGGTATCACCCGCGGCGGGGTGGCCGCCAGCCGACCGGTCTCTGCATCCGAGCTGAGTTCTCTAAGAGGCGGGAGTGGCCTCAGCGCCACCTGTTCAGGTGCTGGGCTGCTGCGTCCGCGGGTCAGAGGCGGCAGAGGAGGCGCCGAGCCCAGCCGAGGCACGTGGCCGGGTCGGACTAGAGCCAGTGGAGTGGCCACGCCGCCGAACTGGGACACGGATGGACCCGGCGGGCCCGAGTGGGACGACTGCGCCGACGCTGTGGGAGAGAGGGGCGAACTTAGTGGGGGCGGGGTGGAGTGGAACAATGCAGATTAGAGTGAAGGAAGCACAAATGAATGAAGCACAATTAATCGGTGCAGTCAAACACAACGTCTGCACGAATCTTGTACTGCCCATGACATTAATATCCCATTACAATAGTGAGCTGTGTAATCAAACCATATCACAAGTCACGTTTACTTCCACACTTCAATATTTGGTTAAAAAAAAGAACACATAAATGTTATCTCAATATCAAGCGCAGTTTATCGGTCTCACCCCACCTGTCCCACCGCCACTCTCGACCCGTCCCACTTTCCATCCTATCCCATCACTGCTCCCACCCCATCCCATCGTCTCACCCATGGCTCTGTTCTGCGGCTGGCTGAGTTCGTCTATCCTCATTGTCGTCAGCTGTTTGCGATCGGTGAGGAAGTAGGTGGTCATGTCCCCTTTGCCTTTGACGCGCACTTTGCCGCGGCACTGGAACTCGTACGGGCCCCTGCTGAGAATCTGATACAGCTCCTCGGTCACCTGAGAGTCGCCAAAAGAACGAAGACAGGTGGAGTCAGTACAGACAGGTGGTGGACTGGCAGAACATGGATTGTCGTGGAGGAACACAGCCATCGTATTGGACGAGCACAGCATTTGAGGTCCAGCAGGCACAGAACTTCAGTTTTCTAAGTATAACAACTTGAGTGCCACCTTCCAAGAGAAATCACATGGGTATAAGCATCAAATATACGAACCTGAATCTTAGGAATACCAAGTAGTCTGCAGTATTCTCAGTGAACAGGCCAGGCAGGCCCCTCCCCTGTCCCCAACCCCCAGCAATCCATTTACCTGAATATGGTTGGGAAGTCAGGTATACGTAGCCGTCCCCTCCCCCACAAAATTCCTGACCTGAATGTGGTTGGGCAGTCCGGTGGAGTCCATTCTGCTGGCCACGTTGACCGTGTTACCCCAGATGTCGTACTGGGGTTTCCGGGCTCCAATCACACCGGCCACCACGGGGCCGATGTTCATACCTGGTGACGGAGCGCAAGCCAGTCAGAGAGAGGGGGTGGGTTTCAGAGGGCGCTGGTTAGAGGTGTGTAGGGTGAAAGATCACATGATGAGCCGGGGCACAGGTCACCTTCAGTCACATAGTGTGTGAGGTCGGATTGGGTAAAGAGCCTACAGATCTGCAGCCTGTCGCAGTGTATGGGCCTACAGTTGAGGGCACGAGTCGTTGGCCATAGTGGTCCACAAACCAGTCTTATGTTCAGGCGTCACAGTAACGCCGAAGTCATCATGGGTCAGTAGTCAGTACAAATAGGTACGATGAAATAATACGTCAGCAATATCCGGAAAGGCAACTGATAGTTTAATCTCAAATAAATGCCAAAAGAAGGAAAATAAATACACCAATTTATGCATCGTCAACTTCGACCGTTCATTTATCATCAGGGATGAAGGAAAACATCGTTGTATGTACAAATATAACATCATAGAACTCAGATACATTAATTATCACATGAAGCTTGCCGTTCCCGCTACTGGAAGTTCATTTTTAGACCAAGACACCTACAGAAGCGGGACTGTATACTCCGGCCATAGTCAGCACTAACAGTGTTCTTCCCCGATTCGGGATCATTACACATCAAAGACATGAGTTTGGATAAACACATAAATACTGTCCAGACTGTCACAGTCGTGTCACGCCCCGGAAACGGGATCTGGCGGAGAGCCAGGCCGAAGCGCGCTACGCTGGACGGTCTATCGCTGCAGCTCGCGGAACATTTCTGAACACGCTGCTTATATTGATAGTGCTAACTCTGTCAACGTCGCACATGAAATGTGCGCGAGTCAACGACGTTTATATTCCTAATGTGCACATTAGGTGATAGGACTGCACATCCAAAGACAGTTGCAATCAGTTACTTCTCACGTTTTTTTTTTTCCAAACACAGCACATTCCCCCGCAACTCAAGTCACCCACCCGTCCTTCTTATCCAAGTACAAGGTATCGCAGTGCGTCGCCCTTCCCAACTCACCTATCCTGAGCATGAAGTTATTGTACGAGTTCTCGTTGATGCTGTGCAGCCTTTCTCGGAAAGCGAACGCCAGTTCGGCCAGCACAGACATGTAATAGATGGCGCTGGCATCGTCTTCCTGGATCTTCTGATCAGGGATCAGGCCCACAGCGGCCATGTACGTGGAACCGATCGTCTTGATCTTGTCGATAGTACGGAAGCGGTCTTCGTCCAGGAGCTGGCAAAAGATCGCATGGCAGTCGTAATTTGGGGGAGATGCTTTATCACTCTCATTTTGCCAAATACCCGTAAACATGCATTCATACAGCGCGCCTAGACAGAGAAGCAGGGGAATCTAGCCAATGTTTTCCAAAGTCAGCAAAAACCACAAAAGCATTTAACCCCATCGGAAAGTCAGTGTTCCTCACCTCGTCGAAATCAGCAATGATCTCGTTGAGCAGCCGGAGGCACTCCACACCTTGGTTATTTCCATCCAGCTCCGAGTAGAACTCGTGGAAGTTGGTGATGGAGCCAAACATGACACCGATGCGCGCGTAACTCTGATGGTATAGCTCCTGAGGGTGAGATGCCTTTGGAGGAGCGGCCGCCAGAGCAGGGAGTGTTAGTATCGCGACACGCCTCCACCGAGCTGCGCCGGCATATACAGACACCACACACCCACACACACACGCAGAGGGGTGATCGTACACGGGGGAGAGGACGGAAGGCGGGCTGGGATAGCGGGAATGCGTAGCAATTAATACATGTGGAAAGATGTTAGTGACTGCACGAGGGAGACGTTCCAAAAATAGGTTTTATAAGGCAGAGTTTAGTAGTGCCCCACCAAATATGACAGTGAGTTGAGCTGCGTGTTATAAAAAACGCAAGAATCCCATTTGTTTGGCACTTTTCAATGATCTAAATGCCATTTTTTCAGCATCAACTCTTCAACTAGACGGAGCAATGCCAAAGGATCGGCAGCACGTCAATGACTGCAGTGCTCGAGTAATTTCATTCGCTCTCGATGTTAGGTATCTTTTTTCAGTTTGCGGCATTTCTTCGGCAAAAAGTGAAAACGGTCCGCTATTGCAATTCCTCACACCTCAAAAATAGCCGCAGAAGTTAAAACAAACAGCACTGACATGCAGCCCAATAACACGCATGCATAAGGAATTCGACAACACCACCCTATCGGTTCATCTCGGTTCAACAGCTGGCGTGCAGGGTGAGATCCACACCGCCGTGCCGAGGGCAGCAACAGAACCCTGCCGTTTACGTTGGCAGCTCGTCACGTGCGAACTAAGGCTCGGCCAGGCGGCTACGTGCACAGGCGTGCTGACGTGTTAGTGAGGCAGACGGGCACGAATAAACAATGCAATGCTAAATGCGAACGATGATCTGATACGAGTGATAAAGAAAGAATACGAAAAGTAGCAGTCATTCCTTGGTGATTTCTGTGGTAATACTGATACCGGCATTATCATGCTTAAGGGATCGAAATACAGGGAAAGAAACTTATAAAATGAAGGTAATACGAGCTTACAAATACATCGAACTTAAGGAAAGCTTTAATTCTCAGTTCAACATAATTGGCTCCTCAATACAGGTTCAAAAACGCCTATAGGTACAAACTCTTTCTGAAACCACCAACAGGTCATAGCCATTTCTATTGCAACAGCGAGAGGTGGGAGGTCATCAAGGTGCTTGGTTTGGAATCACTCGCGATCGGCCTACTCACCATGTTGTTCCTGAACTGGTTGTCGAGGAAGTGTGTAGCCACGTGGGCGGGCAGCAGGTTAAACAAAATCCGCTTGTTGGAGTGCTGCAGCGCTTCCATGTCCTGTTTCTCCTCAATGGCCTGTAAATGACGTCAGAGGGCACCGGTATGACGTCAGACCTGAGCAGTGACGACACCGATAGTGAATTTCAAACCCAAGGCGCAGCTCTTTCCTGTCCTTGTGGCACACACTGACTGATAAACGTGACATCACGATTAAAACTTCAGTGGCTGATGGCCGGTTTAAATATAGAAAGACGCCATTTCATTTCCGGGAGTGCCTTTCAGGTTCTGGCCCCGCCCTCCCCCGGCCATCAATTCTGGGTCGCTAGCTCCCAGCCACCGCCCGTTGCAGACGCTCGGGCACTTCTCTACGGGCGGGGGAGGGGAGCGAACGAGTGCGGCGAGTATAGATGTTCCATACAAATTTACTGGTTTCATCCCACACATCCCGAAGTGCTATGTACGATCCTGAACTACAACGACGATGTTATGGGTGCCATTTCTAGACTAAATTTCGAGCGAAAACGAATGGAACTCAAATCGCAGCTAAAATGACCGTCGCCTCCGAAACTGTGCTGCTAGGTCCGGCGTGGCACCAATAGTCAACAGCAATTCACGTTTCATTTCATAGGTCATTCTGGTCCGGTTAATCCTCACGGACAGAGGAGGAGATGCGTTGCAAAATATAGTAGTGGTTTAACAATTTTGACGTAGTATTATAGCGTAGATCATATGCTGGTGGCTAGCTTGGTGCTTGGGTAATTTACGGCTTGCGCCAAAGTGAGACAAAGCAGAAAAGAAATGATGTGCCAGTCGCCACCCTACATATTCTTCAAACATCCACCTAGAAAGAGTGCAAAGGTAACAAGTTACGCATCTACATAGCACGCACGAACCATTCATCGGAAACAGAACGATTCCATTATATTCTCCAAGAGTCATTTCACAACTAAGCTGAGTTTGGATATGGAAACCGGATTTTTTTCAAACCACACCAACCCTCCGCGGCTAAGTCCCAGCACAACGGCATCCCACACCAGTCGTCTACCATTCTGACCGCTGCAGTCTGTCAGACTAACAGTCTCTAACCACCTTGGGCAGGTATCGGGTCAGACATTGTGGTTACTCCGGACATAGCAGCTTTCATGTCTGCAACACCTCACCTTCGAGCTCAAACAGGCAAGACGCGATTCAACCACGGAAATGCCACGGGCTTAGCGTCGAATGGTTCTACGGCTGAGCTTCAACGGTTGCGAATTAGCATGTCATTCCGACTTTGAAATGTACCAGACTGACACGACTGACACACCTGACAGACACAATGACAAAGGTAATCACGCTGGAATCCAACCTAATCGACACTATCAGACCTATCACATTAACCCGCGCCCCGTAGGGGGGGGGGGCCGAAACGGCCCCCCCCCCCCTGTCCTTTTCGGTCGATATCTCCTAAACGGCTGGAGATATCGCCACCAAACTTTCAGGACCCCTCCGGGCATCAATTTTACACATTGTGACCAAAAATTTTTTCCAGAGGCTGTGATAGGTTGGCCACAAATGACGTCAGAGTGACGTCATGTTCTGTCATTTTCGACCAAAAAAGACCTTCGCGAGAAGACCTGTCAGGCCTACAGCTTTGAAGATACAGAAAAATGTTCAAGACATAAAAGGTGTAGAATTGACAGGGCTACAAAACTGCTGTCTCGGATTTTTGAAATTTTTGAGTTTTGATCCCCAAAAATCAAAAAAGCATTTTTTTGGATATATTAGCCAAAAAATCCAAAAAGTTTTTTGAGTTTCGAAAAAACCGGAATATATGTGATAGTACCTACCGTCTTCTATCTACATACCAAATTTCAGATCGATACCTCGTTTTTTGGCCAAGTTATAGCGAAAAAAAAACTTTCAAAAATGATGACGTCAAATTTTCAAACTCAATTTTTGGCAATTCTAGAACTCGTAGAGCAAAACAAAGACCACCATTAGACTCCCCGTGACGAGCTGCATCGAATGGATACCCATTTTATGCAAAAATATCAACTTTGAAATTTGACCTAATTTGACCTGACCTTGACCTGACCTTCACCAAAACGTGACCTAGGCTGGCCCCAAAGGCTGCCTAACCCACATAATCGCATTTGTCATGTAAAATGGACCATAAAACATGTATCACACGACACATTCATATTGTGACCCCCGGTGACCTGACCTCGCTGTGACCTGACCTGGTATCAGTGACCTCAGGTAGCAAAGTATGTGTTTGACGAACAATATACCATCGATGGTTTTCAATAAATTACCAATTTACTCGATTTCACAGCACATTTCTTGAATTGCCTGTGAACGGTGAAAATCTGACCTTTGACCTGACCTGTGACGTCATCGGTTTGACCTAGGTCAATGAAATTTGGTCACAAGGTAGTTCCCGGGTAGGGCTATCAAACGCCGTTTGAATTTTGAAAATCGGCCGGTAACTTTCCGAGATCTTAGGGGGGGGGCCGAAACGCCCCCCCCCCCCCCCCTACGGGTGGTAGGGTCCGCCGGTAGCCCTACGGGGCGCGGGTTAAACTAGCACTGGCAGAAAACAGACATCACCAAAATGACTCACCCAAGTCGCCAAACTGACACGCCTGAACCTGGCACTGACACTGAAACCCAGCTGACACTGACACTGACACTGACACCCGACCTACCTGACACTGCCAGAGGAAGTCCAGCCGAGCGGTCCACTCCATTTGACGTCCGTGGATGATCACAGCCAGCAGGAACAGCACAATCTGCACCACACTGAGTAGTTGTAGCGGCACCGGTGATCTGAAAAGGTCACAGGTCAGGGTCATCGGGGGTTACAGGGACAGAACATTCTGTAGACACCCAACAGTTGTAGGCGGGACCTATGACCTGAAAATGTCGCACCTCAGATTGGAGTAGTAGAAATGGTACTATTTGATCATCATAATCTGAGTATCGGTCGCCTGCTAAGGGTCACAGAATAGCGTGAGGTCAAAGGAGCACCTGGACTGGTCACAGGTCCAAACATTATTCAGAGTCACCATCATACGCTTATCGCCGCAAAGTCTAAAGAGATCTCTGCTATCATCATTCTGATCAAATGATAGTTGGATGAGAAGGCGAGTCGCAAGGCAGGTTCCAATGAGCTAAATGCACACGCTGGATCCATGTTTAAAAACAAAACAAGTGAGAAAAAGATAGACCACGAGATACGTTCCAAGTCAGGTGCTAAGAAATACATACGGTGACATCCCATTACCAAGTCATTTCATCTCCGAACACTCAAAGTTCATCATCGTTCCAATTGCCATCAGCACTCGGCAAACAGCTGATATGTAAAACCCGCCACGTTCACTCGGTTCCTTTGCTCTCACAGACCCTATTTCAGCCGTCTTTTCGCATTCACCAAGCCGGTGAGATCTGAGTAAAACCAGGCGCCAGCCGGCCGCACCAAAATAGCCCCGTGGATAAGCCTCTCGCCCATATTCGCGGTTAATTTCAGACGGAGTTCGCTGCGACGGAGACCGGCTCTGCGTGACCGGGGGGGTCGGCAGACGCGCTACAAGGGTATCACACGACACAGGGGTGTCATCTGCCTTTACAGTTAGTCCCCAGCGGCCACCACGCAGATCCCAGCTAACCACGCACAGTGCATCGCCCGTGCGACAAAAATGTTCTGAAAACTGACCGCAACAGGACTAGCGACGGGAATAATCCGATTCCTCATCACAAAAGTATCGCCCCAAGCTCTAAAAAGGCAGCAGGCACATTCACAGAAATGTACACCAGCACAAAAATATCAGCAGTATCACCTAGAATAATGCAGGACTAAACCTAGCTGTCAGGCATTCCATTTCAAACAAAAAGCAGTTTAGTGATACGCACGTACCGGAGCGAGCAATCAAGCCTCTTTTTACTACCTAGGGCATCTTACTACGCCTTCATACGACTTCTTTCTCATACCCTCCCGCCGACCCAGCTCGTCCACCCAGTTGTCCACCTACCCCATGCGCTGGTCGTAGCAGAGGAAGAGCGGCGCATGACTCAGGTAGATGAACATGACGTAGACGGTCGTCATGGCAAGCAGCACCAGCGTCTTGACGAGGATGGGCAGCCGCAGGAACACGGTGACGGCCAGGTAGCTGATGATGCAGCTGAGTACGACGTACTGGGGCAGCGGACAGGCGCGGTGCGTGACGTCCGACGGGGCCGGTAGCTGCGCCGGCGAGCACGCGTTTGGTGACTCGGTGAGACATGTGAACTGAAACGGGGGAGAGGGGGGAGTAAGCATGGAGGGAAGACAGCTCTGTCTGGCATGTTAACTGAAACGGGGGGAAAGGGAAGGAACGTCCGCACGGTAAGATAGGAAAGCTTGGTCAGACATGTAAACAGTCAACAAAACAGGGAAGTGGGCAGGAGAGGAGCTGAGTTACAAGGTCGGGCGACTCGATCAGACACGTAACCTGTCGACAGGCGGGATTAAAAGGTACGGCGATGGGACATCAGAACGGCCCGGCGAGGCGAGGGCAGCCTATCCGCCGTGCATTTCAAGTCGCGATGGCAGAACCTAAATGGGGTTGACCCAGCTGAGAGACCACCATCAACCAAACAAGACTAGCGTATGTTAATCGAAGTGACTGCTCCCCATGTTCGTCAATGAGCAATGACAAAGTAATACTTTGCTGCAGGGACATCGCGACCACGTGCAAACTCTTCTGATAGGTTGCACGACTTGGCGCGGGACGTCATACTCGTATTGATCAGAGGCATCATATCGTCTGTGCACGCGTCAAAACAACAAAAACAGTCGCTCAGAGCTCGGACACAGCGAGCAACGTCACTCAGGCGTGTGTTTGGCGTCCCCAGACGTGAGCTCTGTCACACAGCTGCTGCAGATACGAACTGAGCTCAGTCGCAGCTCAATTCTCTTCCATGCTACAAAGTCGCTGGTCTGCAACGGTGCCGGTATTGGCCGCTAACAACGTTCGCGGTTTTAGAGCTGTTCTACCACAAGAACGTAGCCAAAGAGAGAGACGGAGATCATGCCAATTATGGGCTGCTGAACGATGCTATGAGTGCTTAACATAATTCTATTTTTTGCCGTTGCAGCAATGTTGAAGCAATAACTTTTTCAGTATTTGCTACATTGTCTACGACGGACATATCCTCAGTTAAATTGACCCCTTCATCGGCAAAATCCTGCCTATGTACGAGGTTGACCATGTTGTTAAGTGGAGTCCCGTTAGGGTCAGCTTTTAATAACCTATCAATTCTTCGAAGCAGCTGCACCAAAGAACCACAAAGCAAGAAGATCACAGCGTTCAGCAGCAATAAAACAGTCAGCTTTTGATGATAATACAAATCTACCGACGTTCTACATGACAGAATAACAAGATTGGCATTTCAAATGACAAATTGAGCTGTGTATCGGTAGAATGTCCGCAAATTTACGACCGCGGCAAGGCCGATAAACGGGCAGATTGGTGGTATACGAGTACAACGTACTCAATACTCATTGCTCGACACATTGATATTTACATTTGACTTGAGCCACGGCGCAGATGAGTACCACGAGGGTACCCGGTACTAAGTACTCGGTACTCAGCACTTACCACATTGACTTGGGCCACGGCGTAGATGAGTACCACAGAGAACACAGTGACAGCCAGCCGGAGCAGGAAACTGCGGCTCAGGTCCCAGACAATCACCCTGGCGGAGAAACATAGCCGTCAGGTAGAGAGAAGCGACCGCAAACAGACGACAGAATCGATCACGAACAGACAGAGGCGATATTTGGTCCCAATCACCCATGGAGGAGCTATAGCTGACTTTGGGAGCTATAGCTAGCTATTGGAGCTATAGTTAGATGTAGGAGCTATAGCTAGCTATTGCTCATTTATGCATCATCAATATTACCGCTTAATTTCCCCTGAATTTCCATCCCATCTTACCAAAATTTCTTTCAGATCGTACCTGAGCCGGACGGCCAGCAGCAGCATGAGTACGACGGCGATCCAGACGAAGGCCGTGAGGAAGAGCAGCAACAGGATCAGCGTGCGGGGCAGCACCACCGCCTGCACGCCTCCGAGGAACATCAGCAGCAGCAGCGACATCGCCAGGGACGCCGAGAAGCCCACGTCCTGCTCGCAGTTGTACTGAAAACGTGGGGGAAGAGGTGACGTGAGAACTTAGTGGAGCGGAAGGGCTGGTAGATATGGGTTCGTTTACCAAAGGGTGGGAGAGCCAGGCACGCATGTGGCAACGGAAACAGGGTATGTGCCGGTCTACTACCTTCCTGACTCTGGCATATGCAACAACATTGACGGCCACTAGTGAGTTCCTCATTAGATATGGTATTGCAATGAATACAATGATGGAAATGCCGCCATGAACTACCGTTGATTTGCAGCTCTAATATTCTCCAATCCAACGATTTGCCAAGTCACCCACTCAAAATAATCCCAAACGTATTCAGCAAAAGCACACCCTGCACTTCACTTTGGTCTTTGCTCCACTTCTCCTTCCCTCCACCACTCCTTCCCTCTCTCCTCGACCCACCTGCTGCTCTTTCTCCTTGTTCCTGAAGCAGAGACTGACCACATTCACGTGGTTGGACTTCTCTCGATCCACGCTGCGCGCGTCGATGGCCTGTGCCAAGTACTTGTTGACTCGGTTGGTGGGCTGGTGTGGCAGGGAAGAGTGGCGCTTCTGGAACGGTCTCCGGAAACGCTCGGCCATCTTGTGCTGAAAGCAGAACAGCGACATTGTCACAGGACGCCATAGTGAGCCTAAATAAACGGGAGAGCCAACATTCAGAGACAAAAGAAACACTGACAGCGGAATGTAATATATGCGGTAAGAAATTTCACGGAACGAAAGGCGTAGTGACTGGCGAGATGGGTGACTTTCATTTACTGCTTTTTTATTAAAAAACTGCCTTTGTTTCTTAGACTTTGTGAAAGTCGTTTTAACCGTCCCTTTATCTACAAGAAAGGCTAGGCATGGCTAGGTCAATATATGATACATAAGCCAAGCTAAGCCTATGCATCCGACGACAAAATCCCACTAGCAAAACCTACCTATTTTGCCCCTGATCAACCTATTGCACAATGTTGACAGCTATAAATATCACGCGTCCGCCCCCGTTCCTGTCTCGGTAGCCCCTTACTCAGGTGGCGTCACTGGCTTCCGTCCGGTTCTATAGCTGGCAGGGTCACCTCACCACCTTCCCACCCCCCCCTCCCCAGCCCTCCCCCGGTTGTGACTGGCCGGTCGCCAAGGGACACCGCTCGGGAACGGGGGTGGTCAGACTGCCGGTCGCGGGGCATGCAAACGATGTTTGGTCAGTGCTGCCCGTGCTCAGACGGCGTTGGTCGGGATTAACAACTTCTTCCAGTCAGTGCCTGCCTTCCAGGCTTAAAATTCATGTCTCTACGAGTCGAGCGGATATTGTTCTTTGGGATATATGGCCTGTTCTAGCGCCTCCAGTCAAAATTATTTACTGGTGGCTCTTCTAGTAAGGTTTACTGGAGGCGTTTTAGCAAGGCTAACCCCGATGCACCTATTCTCTTCCCATCCATATGAAGTGCACACAAAGCGCGTAGATGAGCTTATTAACCGGAGTGTTAAAGTGTCCTCAAAGGAGAACAAACGACATTCAGGTGTGACCATAAATATGGAGCTCATTAAAGTGCTGCAAGTTTATACAACCTCCTACCTGGCATTTGACTGGTACTTACCAAAACACACAATGTTTCTATTCCCTTACTCATGATATTCACTTTGCTTTTTAGGTAGGTATCATTTTAGCCCACACATAATGGTACATACGATTAACTAAGTAGTCTAGGGTGTGTCACTTGAAACGAAACAAACGGAAAATGTGCTAAAAACTTGCGCATGGACTAGAAATGAAAGGCCCTGGCGGTAAAAGTTTCGAAAAATCAAAATTCGTGCGGCGCCAGCCATTTTTGTTTCGCCCATATACGAGGGGGTATCGGAAAGTTCTGATCATCACATAGAAGATGTAGACCGATTTTGATGATTTTTGGTTGGTATTATATTTGGTTCTTAAGAACAATGTTCCCGCAAAGAGAATCCTGAGAAGTGGTTTTATCTTATGTAGGAGAGACTTAGAAGTAAAAAAGATGAGTATCGGGCCCATTGAGGACCGAACCGTCATCCAACTAATGCATTTGAAACGGTATCACACTGAGAAAATACATCAAGAACGTGAAATCAGTTTGTGGCGAGGAAAGCCCATCTCATGCACTTACCGAAAATGAAGAAATAATTTTCAACTTGGTTGCATGGCCCTTGCAGGGGAGTCAAGAAGTGAGTGGCTACCAGTGACTGACAAGGTGGTGACTGTGAAGGAAGTGGAGGACCTCATCCTTACAGATCGTCGTGTGGCCTTTCAGATGATTGTGCAACAGAAAGGTCTCAATGCTGGCAGTGCCTGAAAATATTATCAGCGAAGAACTACAGACGATAAAGGAGTCAGCCCGCTTAGAAGTTCGTGTGTCTACTTTGTTCAAGAGAAAAATGCGTCTTGGCCATTCGAAATCAAAACTAGGCTTTTTTAGGAAATTGAAGACATCTTCGATAATTTGATGACTTGTGACGAATGCTGGGTCTATGTGCATGATTCAGAGACAAAAAGATGATCAAGAAGTTTAAGCACGACACATCTGTCCTTCTTAAAAGGCGAAGATGCAGAAGCCGATATGGAAGGTCAATGCTATCAGTGTTCTGGATCTGGAGTAGGATAGTCATTACCGACTGTCTTGATTATGGTCGGATAATGATAAGCAAGCACCACTGCACACTTTTGAAGAAGTTGCGAGATGGCCTCAAGCAGAATCGCCGCAAAAAAGCCCAAGAAAGATGTTTTATCCGCACCGACAGCGCTCCCGCCCATTCGTCCTGAGCTGCGATTGAAGAAAGAACATGATGTGGACATTAAATCCTACCGCATCTAAGAAATTCACCTGACCGGGTATTAACTGACTCTTGATTGTTACGGGAGATGAAGAATCCACAGTATAGCCGGTGATTTAAGGACAGAAATGACGTCATTGATGAGATGGAGCAGTGATTTACGGGACAGTGCGAAGGTCCTACAATGACCGCCTGAGGCAGCTCAAGAAACGATGCAATAAGTTTGCGGTCGTGTGTGGTGACTTCTAAAGGAGTAATGAACATCATGTAAAAAAATCAAATTTCTATCACATCTCATTCGTGGTGATGATCAGAACTTTTCGATACCCCCTCGTATAACCCATATACAGTCCAATGCGCCTGAGAGTATATATGCGTTCCTTTCTACACAGTCGTGTCCGTAATGAAAAATGGCAAGTGAAACGACGTTCTACACATCAATTGACATCCATTTAGCATGATTTCTAAAAATCGTAGCCTCAAGTCTCCCCAGGTCAGGTCACCAGGTCCCCTCAAATGACCTTTTAAAGGCCTTCGGTATCAAATGCACGAGTCATGCCCGAATGTTTTCTTTATTTCCAGTAAAACCCGACCAGAAACCAATAACTACGCAGAATAAATGCTTGATTTCTCCAAGGTATCACAGCATAACAATGTCTTCCAATGTTACGATTCAGAAACACACGACAGGCAGGTAAAACTGGTAAAATGCGACCATTCCGGTACAAAGTCCCAGTAAGTACTGAGTACTCTGCTCCAAAGCAAAACACAACAGCTCGACAGTGCAAGCGATGTCAGTGTTGGCAGCTACCGCGGGATGTTGGCAGCTACCGCCCGATCGCCCTCACGAGCCACCTCAGCAAGCTCGTCGAGAGGCTGGTCCTGGGACGGCTGCGCCACATCGTGGAACGCGACCGGCTGGTCCCCGCCGAGCAAGTGGGGTTCCGCGCTGGACGGTCAGTGGAGGACAGCATCGGACGCCTGGTCCAACAAGTACAGGACGGCTGGAACCTCCCCAAGTCCCGCAGCAAGCGCGCGGCCGACGGCACCACCGCACAGAATACGTCCTCCTGGCCTTCGACTTCGCGCGAGCCTATGACACCGTGGACCATCGCCTGCTGAGAGTCCGCCTGATGGAGATGGGGGTTCCCAGGTGCCTCTACAACTGGACGTGGCAGTTCCTGCGCGACCGCCGAGCGACGGTGGAGTACCAGAGCGCCACCAGCGGCGAGCGGGTGTTCAGGGCGGGCCTGCCTCAGGGCAGCGTCCTGTCCCCGGCCCTGTTTTTGTTGTGGGCCGCCCCACTCGCCGCGGAACTGCAGAGAGTCCCAGGCACCACGGCGTTCCTCTACGCGGACGACACAGCCGCCCTCTGCGCCGGTAACGACATTCAGGTCGCCCGGCAACGAGCGCAGCAGGCTGCGGACACCCTCGCGCAGTGGGCCCAAGCCAACAAGATGACGGTGGCCGGCCAGAAGACACAGGCTCTGGTCCTGTCCCAGTGGCCCCGCGATGCGGCTAACTGCTCCGTGAAGGTGGCAGGTGAAACCGTAACTGCGGGCGATCAGCTGAAGCTGCTGGGAGTCACCCTGGACCGGCTACTTCACTTCGGCCCCCACTGCCGCAGCCTGAGACAGAGAGTCCGCCCAAGGACTGCCCATCTGAGGAAGCTGACCGGTCGGGAATGGGGCCTCCAAGAGCAGCAGCTCCGCGTCGTAGCCCCCGGCTACGTTCGAGGAGCCCTCGAACACGCCGCAGCAGCGTGGCTCCCGGCAACATCGCCAACCCACCTCGGTCTCCTAGAGGTGGAGATGCGCGCGGCCGCCAGAGTGGTGACCGGATGCCCCCGATCCACCCCGGCACATGGCCTGATGGCGGAGGCGGGACTCGCCCCGGTGGCTGAGCGCCGCACGGCCTTAGCGGCGCGTCTGCTGGCCAAGGCGCGCGCCCTGCCGGAGGACGACCCGCTCCGTACCGTCGCGGACCGAGAGGTTCGATCCCGCCTCAGCACAGTGACCGGCTGGCGTGGAGTCGGCGAGGAGGCCTGGAGGGAGGCGGGCATCACACCGCCGATCTCGATCGAGCCTCTAGTCCACAAATAACCCAAATTATCCAGTTCGGTGCTACACCGTGTTATCGTCACGACCGTCACATAATTGACTCAAAATTTTTTTTTGTTTACATCCAAAAATATGGTCAAGAATATTTTAAAACTTTTAGTATGTAATCATCTAACGATATCTAAGTGTGTGATACTGCTTTCGATAATCAAAATATTTTAAATATCAATAATTGAGTAAATTTGGTGTTGAAGTTATATTTTTTAAATATATTTCGTGTATTTCCAGTACATAATATGTGAACAATTAATAAAACACTTGTGGTCTTACGGACTCGGGATCGTTGTAGATGGCGCTGCATACGGTTTGTCACAGATTGTAGATGTCGCCCCAGTCGAATAATCTGAATTTTGATTTCCGATAGAAAAAGTCGCGGCGTCGTGGAGAAATGCCTCTATGCACTGGCGGATCCAGGGGGGGCCACGGGGGCCATGGCCCCCCCCCCCAAAGGCCTAAAGTGGCCTGTTTGGCCCCCCCCCCAAAACGCCAGAAAAATTGCTAAGAAAATATACCTTGATGGAGGTTTTTAGCCACTTGGTGAAATAAAGCTTTCCACAGCATAATATGGAAGCAATATAGTAGCAGTGAGGGTCAGTCAAAAGTTGCGCGAGCGGAGTCGACCTTAAAAAAAAGACTGCTGTTGGCACGTGTTTATAGCGCGGCAGCTGGTAGTTGGCGGTGTTTCGCGTGGTGTGGCATCACTGGCGGATCTGGGGGGGGGGGGGGCAGGGGGGGGGGGCACGGGAGCCTGAGGTGCCCCTGACAGGCCCGTGGTGCCCTTGCTAGGCCTGTGGTGCCCCTGGACCCTGGCAGGCCTGTGGTACAGTCCACAGCAGAAGTAATGTGGGGTTTCAGTCATGGGTATGTTCTGCTTCTGAAGCTTAGGAACGATTAGCCAGACTACAATGAAACTTTGAATGTAGCTTATATGTATCGTCACCCTTGCAGCTGCAACTTTAGCTATTGACATCTTCTTTTCAATCACTTCGCATTAAACAATCGCCAGTCAAAGCCAACCGTTGAGTTTGGTAAAACCCTACATTACTTTAGCGGTGGGCTGTACCTCTGGCGGGCCTAGGGTGCCCCTGCTAGGCTGCTGATGCCCCTGGGACCTGACAGGACTGTGGTGCCCCTGACAAGCCTAAAGTGCCCCCAACAGGCCCGTGATGCCCCCGACAGGCCCAAGGTGCCCCTGCGTGATGCCGTGATGCCTGCGAGGCCGGTGGTGCCCCCTGCGAGGCCGGTGGGGCCCCTGACAGCCCCATGGTGCCCCTGCTAGACCGATGCATGATGCCCCTGGGACCTGACAGGACTGTGGTGCCCCTGACAAGCCTAAAGTGCCCCCAACAGGCCCGTGATGCCCCCGACAGGCCCAAGGTGCCCCTGCGTGATGCCGTGATGCCTGCGAGGCCGGTGGTGCCCCCTGCGAGGCCGGTGGGGCCCCTGACAGGCCCATGGTGCCCCTGACAGGCCCATGGTGCCCCTGCTAGACCGGTGGTGCCCCTAGGCCGCTGGTGCCCCTGGGCCCTGACAGGACTGTGGTGCCCCTGACAGGCCCAAGGTGCCCCTGCAAGGCCGGTGGTGCCCCTGTAAGGCCTGTGGTACCCCTGCTAGGCCTCTGGTGTCCCTGACAGGCCCATGGTGCCCCTGCGAGGCCGGCGGCGCCCCTGGCAGGTCTCTGGTGTCCCTGACAGACCTGGGGTGCCCCTGACAAGCCTGTGGGGCCCCTCACAGGCCCGTGGTGCCCTTGCTAGGCCTGTGGTGCCCCTGGCGGGCTGGTGGTGCCCCTACTAGGCCGGTGGTGCCCCTGACAGGCCTGTGGTGCCCCCGGGCACCAAGGGGGTCATGACCCATGTGGCCCCCTTGGATCTGCCACCGATGCATAATATATTGATTTGTAGAGGCGTTATGGCTTATGCAATATGCAATTGCAGGCACTTGGTATCCCTCACTTGTCCCTCATTGGGGCTCTGGCGGGCTCCTGAGGGCCCACGTCTATCTCCGGTAGCCCATATAGACAGGCTCCTTTGGGTCCTTTCAGTACACTATAGCATAAGAGGTCTCCATGCGAGTCCTATACATACATCTGAGGGCGTACCCTGATGTCTGAGGTACCCAACTGCAGCTCCAATGGTCTCTTCTTACACTGGCGGATCCAGGGAGGGGGCATTTAGGGCCATGCCCCCTTCCCAGAGGCCTAAAGTGGCCCGTTTTCCCCCTCCCCCAAACGATAATGAAACATAGTTCAATCAGGGCGTGGCCCAGGAGCCGAGTTAGACAGGGCTGTTTTACCACCTCCGGCCCGCAAAGGGACCCAAACACTGACTCGAAGCGGGTTAAAGAGACCCTCCCACCTTCAAAAAAGTTAATGAATTGGCATGAAAGTGATGTCGCTAGGTTCAGAAAGGGCGAAAACGAATATCTACCAAATTTTATCGAAAAATATTCACCGGTTTTCAAGATATTATACTTTTATTTTTGTTTACTTTTTGGGATATCCGCTGCTGTTCCTATAGTTCGTTTATTTCCAAAAGGACGCTGGCTCCAAGTATGTTTTTCGAACAAGCACGTGTTTTAGCGAGCAAAACGAGCAAAAACTGAACCTGAGAAAATCGAACGTCGACTAATTTTAACATGTGATTTCTTCCCGATAATTTCCATATGGGCGTTTTGGAAGCAGATATGATAACAGCGTTGACGTCATGCTGTCGAACATGTATTTCAATTTAACTTATGACTATCATGGACGGAACCGCTCACTCGATTATAAGCTCGGCAACAGTGAAAAACTAAGTTTCACTCAAATTCGTTGACACTTGTCCCACTGCACGGGCATTTGGGTGCCTGCTGCCACCAGTGACGTCATCATAGTATGTTCATTTTTAAGAAACAATTTCCAGCTACTTACCGTGCAAAATTTGAAATCGATTACTTTTTCGGTAAGAAATTCTTGGCCAGACACTGAAGCTGCCAAAACTCACGTGAGAGCTTCGATATTGAACTTTGAGCCAGCGTCCTTTTGAAAATAAACGAACTAGCGACTTTATTTGAAAGTGCGGCATTTGTTGCGCGCAAAGCAGCCTATACCACCGCATGCTACCAAACGTTTTAGTAAAATATTAAAAAATCATTAGATCTCCGCTGACGTCACACATTCAGAGGGGTATCCAAAAGCATTAGCCCCTCTGAGTCAAAATGCTGCAATTTTGAAATTCAATATTTCCGATTTAAGGCATTTCTCGATGTTGTGAGTGCGTGCCGAAACCGGTAATTGTGAGCCAGGGACCCCATTTTGGCTATCTCAGCTCAAATCTAATGTTAAGGTGGGAGGGTCCCTTTAGCTGGTCGATAAAAACAATGGTAAGTGTTTACAAAGTAATATAAAGGCATGGGTCGGGTGGGCTACCATTTATATATTTTTCTTTTTAGTTAAAAAAAAAATTCATAGTGTCAGGGCTGTGACGAAAAATAAGTGGCCTAAATCCGATGAGAAAACAGGATTTGGGGGTACCCTAGGTTTGGCTCATGCATGAGTTGGCCCCCCCCCCCCCAAAACGCAAGCCTGGATCCGCCAGTGCCTCTATGGGCGTGTTTTTATGTAGTAAACTTATTTTTAGGGTCATCCGCAAAATTTCCGACCATTTTCCATCAGATTTTCGAGAAAAACCTATCAAGTGACACACCCTGTACGTTTGACAACATAAGCAGCACTTCGCTGTACGCAGTAATTCAATGCTTCAATTTCACGCTGAGATTGCTCGCAGTAACGATCCAAAATCAATATTTTGCGATTTGATTACGGAGAGGCAGCATTGTACAAATACCAGGAAAATATAAGTCATGCATAGCGATCCCGAGAGGCCACTGTTCTCTTCAGTAAACCAAATCACAAACACAAAAAAGCAGTGCTGCATCTTTTGGCTACCTCAAATGAAACCACACGGGGCATATCAGTCATACCTATGGTAAACGATGTCTCTCGGGAATCAGTCGACAATGAAACTGTTTGCCCAAACAATTTCATACCATCGATTTTTACCAGTGCCCGGCTTATGCCGACTACAAAAACAATATGCAAATAGCTACTATTCTAGATCGTAATGCATATTCATGTAAGCCCTAAAACGTATGCACCAAATGTAAGCCCCCAGATCTCTTAACTAACACCGGAGTGGCTTTCACTGACACGCACCTTTTTCAGCATGCTGCTCTGTTTGTTGAGGTCGTTGGGCGGCATGTTCATGTTGGAGAAGGGCACCTCCACCGAGTATTTGATGGAGTGCAGCAGCTGCACCACCACGTTCGATACGTTCTTGAAGGAGAGCTTGCGTCGCTGCGTGGAGCCGATGGCTGACCGCACCTGAAGCGTGTTAAACAGGAGCGTCTGAAACCGTGCGCGCCACACGGACCGTCAGACACACACACACGGGTGACGTCATACAGGTATGACGTCAGGGTCACGGGTGACAGCACACTCATGGAGGTAGATAGGGGTTGCATGACTGGAAGACACGGATGGCGTTGCACAGACGCGTCGCAGGCACACACGGATAGATCGGGCGCACAAGGGGTGACGTTACACGCATACGTACGCTTTCATAAACAAGGGTGACGTCACACATATGGTTCAGAAACCTGACTGGGTCATACATACAACAGAGATGCAGGCGAGACAAGGGTAGATGTGGCGGTGGCTGAAGGTGGCCAGCACATGGTTTACAATAAATGCAGCAGGGTCAGATAAGACGATACAGAAATACAACACACTAAGCGCTAATGTTCGAAGCATTGTTTCGAGCCAAAATGACAACACAAAATCACGCGGGAAATGACGATCCAATATGACCGCTATTTCGCAGCTAGCCCAGAAAACAGCCACCTCGTTCAGGGGGCTCAGACTCATTAGCCCTGTCAAATCTCCCGCCACCGACCGACACGATTCGACCATCCAATTGTCGTCAGCGCTAATCTAACCATCAGCCAACAGCATCAACCAACAGCGGTCATCAGAAAACAGGAGCATCGCTACATAGTTCTGGAAACCACAGTCGCCGCCGCTGGCGGGTCGGATCCGTCCAAAGGCGGCCACTACAACTAACCCCGTTACCATGACCACAAGCACAATAAAGCATCGAAAACCATCACCTCATGAATTTCCCTCCTCCAACCATCGGCTGTGCTCGATCCAGTTTATAACTGGATCGAAGACAGCCGATCTCCAAGTCCCTCGCGCCCATCTGCAGTTCATGACGAAGTTTTAATGGCTGTCAGAGAATCTTCCTCACGCCCAGTCAAGCTGCCTCAGCCCTATCTCCTCTGTAACAGCCCAGCAATATAGGCCAAGAAAATTTAGATAAACGCGACCAGAAAAGCTGTGATCGATCCACTTAAGGGCGCAGCTATGAAATCCCTCCACTAACTAGGTGAAATGATGCTGAAAAACGTGACGTCAAGAATGAGGACAGAACTACTCAGAAGCTGGGATGATAATATGGGTGTTAAGTTTAGGCGGTAAATCAAATGCCCTTTTCAGCTGGTAACTAAGTTGCGAAGAAACTAAAGGCATTGTATGGTGCCTTCCACATTTCAGTATTATATTTCATCACAGGACCAAATTTTATTTCTAGCACCCACCAAGTTTACATATCCTGGGAAAGACAAATCCCACGTCTCTCCAAGTGTCACGCTCATTCTTCCCCGCCGTGTCTCCGGTTGAATTTGGACTCTGCCGGCGCCACCACCCGCCTCCGTCGTCAGGTCAGGTCGGGGGAGTGAGCCGCCCCGCCGACTTCCCAGGAGCTCGTCTGTCACGCCGACGGCGACGCTCACAAATCTGCCGCTACGACCCTGTCGACCGCCGCGACAGGTCACATCGGCCGCGATAAACGAGCCCCGACGAGACTGACTTCACCGGCGGCGGGGACCTGGGCGGAGGACCAGCCACCGGGCCGACCGGAGACCGACGTGACGGAAAGTCAAGGGACGTGACAACTGACGTTACGGGACGGGACACCTAAAGTGACGTCATAGACGTCAATGTGACGTTAACAGGACAGAATTGGTGTGGATGGAAGGAGAGAAGCCAAGTTGGTATTTCGACCAGGCGGTGGTAGTGTAAGACTGGGCGCCGAACGCGTTAGTCGGCGCCCTGGATTGGCAGAGTATGATTTAAATTATCACATTGCATGTGCTTTCACATTGCATGTGCTTTTACCTTTCGTGATCCGTCCATACGTTCCCGTTTCACGTTTTCCCGTTCTTTACGCGCGCCCATCCCGTCCCCCACCCCGTTCGCTCCGTTCCATTAGCGATCAGCCACTCTCCAACCACGTCATGGCCGCCAAGCGAGTCAGCCACGCCCCACTGGCGGGCGTGCTTGCCGGTCGTGCTCGTGTCAAGCGCGGTGCTCTCCGGACATGCTCGTGCCTGGTGCCGTGCTCGTCGGGCGTGCCGGCGGGCAGAGTCAGAACCAGGCGAGGTTAATGACCTTGTCATCACCCCAGTCGGAGCAAAGATCAGTCAATATGCCAGGCGACACGACCGTCACGGTCAACCAAGTCATCGTACTGATTTGGCGAGACGATCAACTGTCGTCCCGGCTGAAGGTGTCGCGCCTCTCCAGGGAGAAGTGACGGTTGTAAGGATTTAATTTGAGTTCAAAGGTACAGCACCGGAATACTCTAGTGGCGCAATGGCATACCTCACGTCATACCTTCTGCCCTAAAAGAAGCAAAAGGGAGAAGAAACTGACAGGGAATCACATCCGTCACCTTAAAATGTTCCGTGTGAAAGACTTCAGTGCTGAGTCAGGCTGAAAATTGGCCGCAGTTCGGTCAGAGTTTGGCATCTCGCCCCATTTCGCACCACCCCAACGCCTCTGTCAAACCGGCATCAGCGTCACTCTCACCACCCTCCACTCTTTCCTCCCTCTACCCTTCGATCTAAGGCATGAATACCGCCGATAGGCTCTCCGTCAGAGTTCGTCCAGAAGACCATCACATCTCAGTGAGGTAGGCTAGAGTTCGGTCCGCAGCGAGCTAAGATGTTCGAACGTAGCCTTGTCAGAGGACCGCCGAAGTGCCCACGTCAGTCGGAGGATGCACCCTCGGGACTCCGGGCAAATGGTTCTCGTGAGCACTCCCAGGGGAGTGCGAGTGGTAGAGATATTCCGCTACAGCGCTGATGGATAACGGCGTCAGGTTTCCGAAGCGGGTTCGTCAATTTTCGTGTCATGGCATGAAGGACAGGACAAGACAAAAAAGCGAATGTAAAACATCAAAGGTCATTGGTGAATAAACAGTTGCATGATCTGGCCTGGCAAAACCGTTTAAAACGCGAATATATATTGCGAGTACTTTCCGAGATCGTCAGGAAAGAAACCCAGTTTTTGTGAAAAATCCCTTTACCAAAATGGTTAAAAGGTCATTCAAATGCGTCCGGCAATAGCAATGGGTACTGACAACAGGTTAATGCCCTTGACATAACTTGCGTGACATCATCGAGTGCATCAAGTACACCATAAACTTAAGTACATGTGCCTTTGAAGTAGGTCGTATTACTTCGATACGAGCCGCTTTGATCGACCCTTCAGTGGGATTAACAAAACAAGGGCTGAACAGGACATTTAATTGCACGTCAAAAGCATGCCCCAAACACCTGGTTTGGAATTGAACATAAGCAACCAATGCGGGCACTACTAAGTAAGTGTGGAGAGCACGATGGAACATCCCTATTCCCTAATTATGCAATATGCATTCTATCGAAAACCTCAACTCTTATGTTTTGCATTACGACCCTTTATGGAATCTTTAGGACCAAGTTCTATCCGATAAGAGCGACCAACGAAGGGCAAGACGACGCCGGCAGCATCGGCGGTCTCCCTTCATCGCAGACCCCGAGCCGAGCCCGGACGGGCCCGGGCGGGGGCGGGGGCGGGGGTGGCCGGGCTGGAATGTGCCAGCGCGGCGCCAGGGCCCGGTCGGAGGAAACATTGATTCGCCGGCGGGCGGGAGGCACCTCCCGTCCGCGCCGCCCTGCTGAGATAACAATGCTGAACGGCGCCGCTGCCGGAGAAGATATCCGACACTATCATCTAAAATCGACCGGGCACCCAGTGACTGGTTAGGGGTCGAGCTATGCCGCATTTGTGGTGACACGCAGCGATTCCTGCAAATGATGGCTATTGCAGCAGTTTGCATTACTTTATTTCACCAAGTTTCGCAACTGCAAGTGGGGGTAGCAATCAAAATCATTGGTGAGAATAGGCCATAAATACGGCACTGGAAAGTTCAGCTGACGTCAGGTGACACCTGTTGGCATTTCCGCCCAGTATTTTCCCGTTCAGTCTCTGCCAGGTCGCGACGGACCCTCCCCCGCTCCCGGGGCCGACACCTTCCGCGCCTCACCGGTTGTTGGCGTCCGTCCAGCCCGAGGCTGTCGCGAGAGCGACCGTCACGCCCTGACCTGTCAACCAGACACCGCAAAAACTGTCTGTCTGTCCGCGGGGCCGCCCTGACCTGTCAACCCCCCGGCAGTCACACCAGACACCGACAGAAGCACCACCACCGTTACAGTCTATCCATCTGTCCACGACTCAATCCGATCTGAAATTCCAGGCAGGTTCGTCCATTCATCGCGCCACACTCGCATCTCTTCTCTCTCCCTCCAGTATTAGTGATTAGGGGTTTGTGGGCGCTTCAATAATGACAGGTCATTGGCGCTAATCCAGCGATTTTTTTTTCACTCAAGGCACTAACTACTCCATGATCTACATCCTTCCCTCCCATCACAGTCACTGCCCTCAGCCTACACTTATGTTCTATGGCGTTGCCCAATCCCTCAAAGGAATCTCTTTATAGTCACACCTAGTTTCGACCACACCACCCTAACCACCAACGCCCAGCCCACTGACAACAGTCACCCAGTACAGTAGTTGGCGAAAAAACAACAGCGGCCCACAGGAGTTGGTGAAAAGTACACGGACCGTCCGTCGGCCGGCCCCTTCAGCTGGCAGCGCGGGTACACGGAAGCGAGGATGGGCGGCGCCGCGGATGACAGGGTGAATGATGACGCTCTGAGGGTGTGCTCCATCGCCACATACCCGACCGACAGGTGGGCGCCAGTGCTAAATAAAAATAACTTTTAAAGTAAGGATAAGGGGCAAATAATATCAAACGAATAGTGTTTGTCAATTTTCAAACAACCTGTAGTTATCTGTATGCTAATACCATGTGGTATGTATGGTATAGCATGTGGTATAGGTATGTTACCATGTGATGGATGCGACACAATACAAATGTGTACCGTTCATATGTGCGAGGCCGTTACCAGCCGGATCTGAGCGAGAGAAAATAGCAACTCACAATAAAGCAGCATCAAAGAGATAGATATACTAACTAAATAATAACGGGAGGGCAGTATTAAGCTAAACTGGACTGAAATAGATTGTTGCTGCTCAGTAAATTTAAAATTTAAATAACGATTCAAAAGCACAGGGTCTCTGTGTGCCTATCAATAATGCAATACGGCTCAGCTTTACCCCATGACACACTGAAACAAACGAGAATAGCTCGGAGAGTCGAGTGATCTCCCAAGACAATCTGCGGGACACATTGGCACTCGCACGAGGCGGCGCCAGGGAACACAGGTGATACTGCGACGGGCATTCCCGAAAATTGCTCACGTACAAAAACATCCCTATTGATGCCAGTCGTCACTGCATCAATATTGCCTCCTAAGCAAGATGACGCCCGGATAAATTCGGTAGGGATTATGTCGGAGTGCGAATGCAAGCTGATGCTCTTGAAACTGGTGGCATAACGCTAACCGCACACATTACATAACTGGCAGAACGTGTCCACTGGAGAGGACGCCATCAGAAGGGATCGACGCTGACAGTTCAACGACGGAACGACCACAATCCTATAAAGAGCAAACCCACCTAAAGAAGAGCAGATCAACCCTGTCACGCCACTTCGTGGCGACAAAGCACAACTCATATCCCCCAATCATCAGATAACTTCAGCTAAGCTTAGACAACAAGCATCCCGTCTCCTCACTTCATTCTACACATGCATCTCCCATCAGACTGCCCCTCCCTCCATCCAAGTACGGCAAATGACCTTTGTCGTCGAGGCGTCCTAACACCCGTATCATGCAACATACCCCGGCCCGTCGCGATCACCCACCTTCCTTCGTCGCGGCGGCGGTACGATAAAGTAGGAGCGCACACCAGCGTCCCTCAGGTACTGGTTACGCAGGTGACCGTTACCGGGCTCCACCTCATACTCGCCGTGAAGAGCGTCCAGGGTGGCCTGCGTGATGTGCACCCGCCTGGGGAGAGAGAGGAGGGGTGAGGAGAGAGCAGGCGTGGGGGAGGGGTGGGGACGGTTACCTACCAAAGAAGACGACACGACAGCAGGAAGAGTGAGTGAGATAAAAATAGAGATAGAGAGAGAGAGAGAGAGAGAGAGAGAGAGAGAGAGAGAGAGAGAGAGAGAGAGAGAGAGATCATGAGAGAGAAAAAAAGAGAAAGAGCAAGAGAAAGAGAGACAGAGACAGAGACAGAGACAGAGACAGAGACAGAGACAGAGACAGAGACAGAGACAGAGACAGAGAGAGAGAGAGAGAGAGAGAGAGAGAGAGAGAGAGAGAGAGAGAGAGAGAGAGAGAGAGAGAGAGAGAGAGAGAGAGAAGAGAGAGAGATGGGTGAGTGAGTGAGTGAGTGAGTGAGTGAGTGAGTGAGTGAGTGAGTGAGTGAGTGAGAGGGAGAGAAAAAAGGTAAAAAGAGTGTGTGAGGGAGAAAACGGGCAATGGGAACAGTCTCCGGACAGTTATAAGCTGCTTCTCCAAAGGGATTATGGCCTATAAACTGCGCTGACATTTATCAATGGCACCGAGTGCGATATAGCTAGCAGCACAAGGCGACCCACGGGCGCAGGTATTCCACGAACAACGAACATAACACAGACCCTAAAATAACATCTCATCGGATCGGCAACCAGCCATGTGTCACAAACACTTTATGAAAGCCTAAATTTGTGTTCAACATAAACTAACTATAAAGAGAGTGATGAAGATGCGCCGCTTTTCACAGAAATGTCGGTTCGGGTTACATGTTCTTTGAATGTAAAGTATTGCAACAAATCTTATCAGCTATGTATTTCTCCGGCAGGTAACAAATGTCATCTTGTTCACTTAGTTCACATGACTTTACAATATTTACGTGCATATTGAATCTTCACCACAATGCCAGGTTGAGTACAAACAAATATATCTTCCCAAACCCCATTTCATCCTCCTCTCGCTGTGTAAGACTATCCAATGACGTCATACATACCCGGGCTCGCCGCCGGCCTCCATGTTGTTGGCCAGTGTGACGTCATTGGACCACACGTCGTACTGCCATTTCCTGAGGCCCAGCACGCCACACAAAACGCGTCCTGAGTGGATGCCCACGCGCATGTTGAGCTGAACGTCTGTGGCGTCCACAACCGACCTGAGGGAGGGCAGGGAGGTTAGATTGGGGGTACAATTACATACGCTACATATCTGGGCGAGGGCGGGTTAGATTGGGGCCTGAGGGGTACGCTACATACATGTAAGAGGGGCGAGTCTGGTAGAGGAAGCACCACCAGCATGGGGAGGGAGAGCCCGATTAGGTGGCGGGCATTCTACCGACCTTAGAGGAGGGAACTAGCGGGTTAGGCTAGGTAGGGAGTGACTAGTAGGCTTGAAGAAAGGAAGAAGGCGAGTACGGTAAGACAATTTTAGAGAGGTATGTCATGCCGCCAAAATGCAAAAACAAAATGTCGAGCCGTGTCTTTTTGCTTAGCTTTAGGAACGGTCATCGCTGATAATATGCAAGCACACACAACAGGAAAAAGTAATTTCCCAGCTCCCAAACCACATCATATCGATCAATGTAACGTGCAAGTGCGCGCAATTATCGAAGATGCATTGCCTCCCTTTTGCACGACTCGCAATGCATGCATTGTTCAGTCTATTCCTACCGAGCTAGCAAATTGAGAATTAATGACAGCAAGAAAAGCACGAATTAAATCGTTCTAAAATAACACCGTCAATTATATTAAAGCTCAGCTCATCGATTTTTACAAGCCCCATAAATCCCACGATCGGCCGGCGGTTCAGTGGCTTGGTAAGCTATAAACATTACATTGGTTTCTCGGCAGCCCCAAGCCAATAACCCGCGAATGCTTAGTCTTTACAAAGCTTATCTGGATCGATGATCAATTGCAGTCTCATGAGACCATGCTTCTGTTCAGTTTCACAGTCTAACTCGAAATGTTAATATCAGCCAAAGACCATGGCTATGTAAGCAAATACCATGGATCAATCGCTCTACAAAAAAAAATCAATAAAATACACTAGTCTTTCTTAGGAAGATTGCACGAGTGTTAAATTATTTAATCGAAAACTACTGCGGCTGTATGCAGAACTTTCCGGCCGAAGGAGCCCAAGGACGCGTGACCGGTAGCAGCAGGGGTGAAGCCGAGTGACCGCATCGGCTGCCGCCAATCTCGTTAGAAAACACCGTCCGGCAGCGAGAGATGATCTCGTTAGGTGAGGCCGACACCCAGCGTACACGCCAGAGGCTGGGTGTCTCCCGACCGAACGGCACGGAACGACATGGAACTGCACGGCACGGCACGGAACGGCGCGGCGCGGCACGGCACGGCCCGGGGGCGGAACAACGCCCACCATGGCCCTGGCATTTTATTCGCCTCCACATGTACCATTCATCATACAAGTTTCACTTTATTACAGCTACAATTTCATATCCAAACTGAAAAGTCGTTTCCGGGCCATTCGTCAGAGAGATTATCCGGCCCGGGAGTGGCCATTTGCGCAATGCAGCAGCTCGCCAGCTCGCCAAGCTGGTGGTTGATGTCTCATTCCGTTAAGTTCGCATTTGAAGCTCCGTGCCAAGGCGCCCTACCACAGCCAAACTATGACCTCACCCACTCCCTATCAGTAGGCTAGTCCCCTCGCCCCTCCCCTATACGACACACAGGGGGGCGTGCAGAGGCCGATAAGCGGGGATGTTGTCCCGATTGCAAAGGGAAAATAAACTGACGCGCCGCTGCCGACATTAGCGCTTATCGAGGCTCGTGAGACGGCAGGTGGCCACAGGAGTACCGTCGTGGGCGGTACAGGGTAAGTGAGCGAGGAAAAATCACCGTGACCGCACAGAGAGGCGGAACGGGGAACAGAGAGGCGACGATGACAGCATGAAGCACTATATAATTGAGGATGTTTTAGTACCGACCTAATCCAGCGATCCTGCATAACAACAATACAAAGTTCGGCTGCGCCAAAGGTGGCATCGGTATAAGCTATAAGGCATGACGCTATGGAGAGTGGGCTGTCCGCGCGCATTGCCGCAACTGTTGTGACTAACAAATGTTGCAATATTCACGACCAATGGTACCGGCTAGACATGGAACAATATTGCACGGCACCTTACCAATAAAAGTCATAACTAATTAGAGAATACCTATTTTACAGAACTATAAAGTGAATACGTACATGCTTTTTTATTATTTAGTCGGACCTCTCTCCAACGGGCTCTTGTCCCAATTACAGGAGAAAGCACCTGCTCCCGAAACCCGGCACCACCGCACCGCGGGTCGACGCCTTAACCGACCGCGCCACCACGGCCGCCGTTGTTTTCTGCATTACGATATAATATGAAACTACATTTAAACAAGTGAGTGCCAGAACTAAAAATGTTGTGACCCGGAGGCAGACAAAGACAACGCCACTGCCAGGAGGTCACTGTCAAACAGCAGAGCTGAGGCGGGAACAATGTCACTCCAGCCAGACCGTAACTGGTGTGACGGTCACATTTGTGACGCGTCTGTTCCTCTGAGGAACGTCCGAGCCGTGTCAGTGCAGAAATAATAACGGAACGGCGCAGTGATAAATAACGAAACATCCGACGGTGCAGGCCGTGACGAGTGGCGACCCTGACCCGTTCTCTGAGACATCGCTGTATTACTGTTCACTCGGGTTAATGAGGCTCAAAATTCAGCACGGGCACAGCCAAGCCAAGCCACCTTACTTAGACAGGAGGGAGGATGAGATGGGCTGTCCTCAATTTCATCGACAGGTTAATTATATTCCATCAGAGTTACGGCAGCCAGTTTCGGTTACTGGGTGTCTGAGATCAACTAATTGCCGTACATTTTACCACACCCGGATACTTCACTTAAATACAGAAGGATCAGCCGGTACAATAGGTGCCAACATTGCAATAGATTCAGCTTATGCAATACATTTATCTCCAGTAGACTCACCACCTCCCTGCCAAGTGCCAACACCTTGAAGAAGCACCAGACCTCCCTGTTACCCCCTTCCCCTCCCCTGCTGGGGGAGAAGGAAATCAGCCGGCCGCGGGCGGTGGGGGAGTGGGGGAGTGGGGAGGGGGGGCTGGGAAGTGACATTGCGGGTACCGCTGAATCACCGGGCCCGTGTTTATGCTGGGGCTGTTTTCATTAGAGGCCGCCGCGGCGCGTCGACGCCCAGTCGCCGGCGGGGTTAGCAGTTCAGTCACTAGCACTCCTTCGCCAGTCCAGAGGCAGTCAGTCCAGGGCCTACGGTCCAGTCACCAGCGGTCAAATCACTGGCACTCCTTCGGCAGTCCAAAACAGTCGATCTATTCACCGCCAGCAAGGCACTGGCAGGAAGGCAATTCAGGACATGTGTCCTGAAAGCAAATCAGGACACGACACTCCGCTAGCAAGAGTCAAGGGCAGTCAGTTCAGTATCTGAAGTGTCAGTTCAGTCAACGGCAGTCCAGTCCCTGTCAGTCCAGGGCACACGGCGGGCATCAGCGGCCCGCACACCGAGTAACAGCTCTGCAGTCCGTTCTCGACACATTCTAACCGATGATCCAGAAACATACCTACAGAGTACAGACTACAGTCATAGATAACATGAACTACCGTCAGTTCATGTTATCTATGCTACAGTCATCAGAGGCAACACACGCCGTGCGCCCGTACTTCCGCGTGTTTAAGCCGGCCGGCAGGCTGATCGGCACTCGACGGCAACGCGTCAATAAATAAAATCGAGACCACCCTGGCGTACTTTTAGGGCCTTGGCCCAGGCACACGAGTAAGGCAATCTAACGACTGAAATTATGTGGAGCGTAGGCTTGTCTGATCAAATATAGAGTGACTGGCATACACCTGTGGAGTGGGTTGCAATGAAATATTAAGAGGCAAAACACACTATGCTAAAAGCCCTTAAGTACTTCTAAAGAAGTTCCACAGCATTCGATTTTTATATGCACCAGCTCTGTCAAAAAAACACCAACTACTTCGAGAGGAGGGTAATTCGCAACAACGATGTTTGCAATTCCAAGACGAGTTCTGCAAACAAGCTAACAGAGAACTGAATGCTAACAAGCGCCAGAATAACGGGAAAACGTAAGTGTGCCGTACAAAAGCCAGAAACCAGCAAGCAGCACAAAAGCGAATACTGCAGACCTGAGCGCACGTTGTGACCTCTGAATCCTACGCCCCGGCATCAGAATTCACCAATCACCGCTCGACTGCCGGAAACAGCGTCCAAGAGTCCAGCTGAGTCTGGCCCGTGCAGGGCGGACCCATGACAGCCGGGGCCAAGGACACTGGCACTGGCATCGCTCACCCTCCGCTTCCCCTCCGCCGCTCATTAGAAAATAATCAACAAAATAACCAGCTCTGGAGAAAATAATCAATAAAACCCGGACATCAGTTGGAAAATAAGCAATCAAACCACGACTTCTCGTGAAAAAAAAATAATCAAAAAAATTATCAACAGGCTTTGATATATAGTTAGAACTGCGGGGCAGCCCTGATAGGCTGAACATTGAACCAAATGAAGCGTGGTGTCATATGGTAAAAGATCACAGGAGTCAGTATGCCCTTTCCTCCCTATCGGACCTTATCCCCAAACACAAGCGTGGAATCCAGCTCTAAAAGCTCTCCATGCGCTGAGCGGTACACTGCTGCGCAGTTATCACGGTGATAAAGCACGGTTCACCTTGCACCCCACAGCTCAGCCCGTCACCAGTGGGAGGTCTGAGGTAACGCCTAGGTGGTCTGGCAGCCCTACCAGCTCCCGTGACGTCACACAGGGTAGGGGCTGCAGGAGGCGAGGCGGGCGCCCTTAGACGTCCTGGTGCCCTTGGGTAGTTGATTCCCGACCCTTACCATTTAGCAGAGGCTGACAGAAAATAACCAACTTGGTGGTAGAATGAACTAACGTGATATTCGTTTATCAATCGTCGAGTCATGTAACATTTGAAAAGGGTTCTTTTTTTTAGAGAAGTGTCAGTATACCAAGCTTGACTTGATTTGCAAAACCATCAGACGACACCCGGTTACACCAGTGATGCAACGCCCGAAATGAAGAAATCACGAAATAATAACATGAACCACTCCAACCAACTTAGGACCGATCCAAAAATAAGAGCATAGGAATATAAAT